CCCGCCACTGGCAAGGCCGTCACCGCCGTCGGATCCGTGGACAACCGCCAGCTCGTCGGCTACAGTGCCGAGACGGTCGGCGCGTCGGGCGAACAGAAGCAGATCGTTACCCTAACCGGCCAGCCCTGGACGTTTGGCAAAGGCGACCCAACGACTCTACCCGTTGTACCCGTCACTACGGACCCATCCGTGATGGACGACGCGTGCAAGGCATTGCCTCTTACGACCGACTACACCGGCAAGGTCGTCGTCGTCGGCCGCGGTACGTGCACCTTTGTGACCAAGTTCCAGAACATTGCCGACCGTGGTGGCGAGTATGTGCTCGTGTACAATACCCCGTACCCTGCCTCGATCACGTATGTCGCCGCCTCAATCGACGGCCAGCAGGTCGCGTCACTCACGCGCGATGATGGGCTCTACCTCAAGGCGCAGTACGCGGCGGGCAACCCGATCAAGCTCGACTTCTCGCACCAGCATCCTGTCACGACGGCCGACACCAACACGGGCGGCACGATGAGCTCCTTCTCCACCGTCACGCCAACGTGGGAGAATGACATCTACCCCGGCATCAGCGCGCCTGGCGGCAACATCCTCAGCACATGGCCCATCGCGCTCGGTGAGTACGCAATCATCTCTGGCACCTCGATGGCCACGCCGTTTGTCGCGGGTAGCTCAGCCATGTACAAGAGCATCAAGGGCAAGAAGTCCGCCAGTGCGACGCAGCTCCGCACCATCTTCAGTTCCACTGCCAACCCGGTCGAGCTGGTCAACTCGACCTTCCACGACACGGTCGTCAAGCAGGGCGGCGGCCTGATCGACGTCAACCGCGCCGTCTTCCACACCACCACCGTCTCGCCCGGCAGCATTGCGCTCAATGACACACGCCACTTTAAGAAGGGGCCACAGCAGATCACCATCACCAACTCGGGCACCAAAAAGCAGACGTACGAGGTCTCTCACCTACCTGCCGCCACGCTCAACACGATGGACCCGTCAACCGGCTTCTTTGAGCTCTTCCCCGTACCTGTCGTCAAGAACGCTGCCCACATCGAATTCAGCACGACCAAATTCAGCCTCTCGCCCGGCTCGAGCAAGATGTTCAGCGCGACGTTCAAGCCGCCGAAGGGCCTCAATAAGAATGACATCCCCATCTACAGCGGTTACATTCAGATCAATTCCACCAGCAGCCCGGAATACGGCACGGTCCAGGTGCCGTACATGGGCGTCTATGAAGACATGTACACTGAGGCCGTCCTCGACACGAGCAGCGAGGAGATTGGCGAGCCGCTGCCCGTGCTCGCCGATGCAGAGGGTAACATCATCCACGATGACGCGCACATCTTCACCTTCACCAACGACTCATCAGGCAAACTCGACGCCCCCGCGCTCTACTGGCGCATGCGCCTCGGCTCCGCTCTTGAGAGCGTCGACCTCATCTCTGCCGACACTAAATTCAAGCCGACGGTGCCAATCAACGACGGCTCCTCGTCCGCGCCGGCCACGCGCCGTCAGCTTCGCAGCGACGCGCTCACCAAGGTCAGCCGCAAGCACGCCGATCTCCACACGCCCTCGGCCCACGAATCCCATTACGCGCGCACCGTTGCCGCGGCCAGCGACGGCAGTCGGAAGTACAGCACCATCAAGACGGTCGGCAACATCCTCAGGCAGGCATGGGCCCCGCGCGACGCGGTCAGCGGCATCTCCAGCGTCCAACTCGAGCCGACGGTTTCGACGGACAATGCTACTTCGACGCTCACGATCCCCGACGGAAAATACAAGCTGCTGCTGCGCGTGCGAAAGCTGTTTGGTGACGCGGACAAGGAGGCCGACTACGAGTCATATCTCTCCCACACATTCGAAATCCAGACGACTCCTGCGAGTCAGAATTAGAATCGCTCGCCTCGTCTACTTTTATTCACTTTCGATTTCGCTCTCTACACATCCTTGTTGGTATAACTTGCATCTTTCTTCACTGTTCACTCACACTACGCCTGCACTCACCGCCGGTCATGCAAAAGGGAATAAGCGTAAAAGCTTGGAATCAACACAGACGTACAGTCTATACACTGTCCCCGTTCTTTGGTCTTATGTACGCTCATCTCGCTCCCCACGTTGCAACGCATACGCATTGCCAGGAGACATATGCAGCAGCCCACCTTTTTGGCTCATTAGTTTGAAGACACTCCTGAACAAGCCGACCGATTATCATTTTCTGCGTGCCCGTGAATACATACAAGGTGAGGTGGCGGGTATGACTGAACAGTAAAGGAACGTGCGTAGTTGGGAGATGTCTGCATCACGGTGCTGGCGGGGGACTCTTGCTACTCCGACTGGCACGCATCACAGCCGGTGGCCCGGGACGAAGACGAAAATGACAGTGAGGACAGAAGTGACGAGCGTGACGAGGGCAAGGATGCCGAGAGCGCGCTTATACAGCAAGCTGCGGACGTAGCGCTCGTGGATGTTAATCGTCTTGAACGGTGTTGTTTCGGATCGGCAGAAGAGAATGACGAGGAGCGGGTCCAGCTCGTATTGGTGTGAAAAGAGAAGAAGGACCGCGATTGAGAATGGCAGAATAACCTGGTAAGCAGCGCACGAGGAGATCGCAGACTGTATCAGCGCTGACCCTGCGCGCATACTAGTATTTGCATGCTCTAATGGCTTAAGAATGGCAAACTCACCCATAGCCGTTTCTGTCTGTGCACATCGAGGAAAATGAAGCTGAACCCCGTGGCCAATGCAGCCCAAAGGGCTAATAAGCCGAGGATGAGACGTACGAGCGAGGAAATGGGCGTCAGGTTGCCAAATGCCTTGGCACGCAGGAAGCGAGGGAAAATGTCCGCCTCCATCGTCCGAAAGACGTATCTGCGCAGAAGGGAAGATGATTTTGTCAGTCGCCTTCACTCGTTATGATGTCGTCAAGAGCTGAGACTCTGTGCGGACGCACTCTTTCGGAGCATGGAACATGTCTGGAACCCTGGCGAGCGCCTGCTGACTCTCTTCATCCTGTGGGTGGGGAAGCGCATTGCTCGAGATCGGGAAGCTGTTGATCCTCAGCGTTGAGGGTAAATAAATCTCCTTCTCTGACCCTGGCAGCAGATATCGCGCGTAGATGCGTTCTGCTGAAGCGATAAGGTCTGTGCGTGTGATCGCTGCATTGCGTGAAATGACGGTCGGTGCGAGTGATGCCCGCTTTGCCAGCATGGACCGACGCTCTGAGCGGGTCGCCTGCGGTGGAAAGTCTGGATCACCGGGGAAACGAGGGCCATGGGACATGCTCGTCGATGGCCGATTCCCCCCAAACTCATCCACCGTGCCTTGCTGGCCCTCTTGCGCAGCCGACTCGAAGTCGCCCCTGTGCTGCTGCTCGTGCTCTTCTCCGGAAGCATTCTTCTGGCCTAGCGCCCCCGTCTCCAGCACGGCAGCGTCCGCACTGATAATGTCTTCGTCGACACCGTTGATCTTATTGTAGATGCTCCCACGCTCCCGCGCTTCTCGCCAGTATCCCGGCCAGTCATCCTTGACGCTTCGCCCGCTCTTCCTCAGGTCCTTGAAGTACGCTCGGCATAGGTTCTCGTGCTGCTGTACGTCGAGCCAAAAGTCGAGCGAGTCTTCAGCACCTTCGCGCTGCAGGAAGAGGTAAAAGCAGTAAAGGTCAACGGGAGGCGCGGTCCGCCGCGCGAGGACCTCGGCGAGCGTAGGCAGCCGCTGGCGGCTCTGCGAAGACTGCAGGTGGAAAGATCTCCTCTTCTCGGACATCCTGAAGAGGCTCGCGTGCCTGCTGCGGCCAGTCGTTCGGTATCTTTGAAGCCGGAATGCAACCTGGTGTTGATGAACATGTGTATGCTGATCCAGTCCAAACAAGTTGGAGGTAAAAGTTGTTAGGGGCGGTGGAGAGGAGGGGAGCGAGGACCGGCACTGAGGCAGTTTACATGCACGTAACTCTAACTTCCGGGGCTTTGCGGGTCTCTCCCGGGATTCTATAGCTAGAGACACCGGAGTATATGTGTAAATCCCCGTATCTCTTTCGTCATTGGATTTTGATTCTCCTGCCGCATGGAGGAAGCCTTGCAGGCTTTGGATAGTGCACAAGACATTATACAGACACAGACCTTGGTTACCCTTCACCTCTCCTTCCTCAATCCTGTTTGCTCTTCTCAACGTGACATGTGACGGGAGCGTCAACGTTGACCTGCTCAGCCTTTCTACTTGATGACCGAATTGGCTGTGTAGAGTGCCGTACCCCACTTGCTGACGCGGACGACCAGCTCAACGCAATGGCTCACGCTGAAGGGGCGCAGCGCCGTGCGCACGCCAACGACGATGGCGAAGATGCTGGGAGATATGCAAACAAAAAGCAAAAGCGATCGCATGGAGAATGGAGAGACATAGGAAAGAATGGCATCGCCCATCATGTCACCGAAGCTGCGCAGCCCGAGGAAGGCCAGAGCGTACCCGTACCGATTGCGCCGCCGACTGCTTCGAGCTTACGACTCGTAAATGTATTGCAGCAGGCACTGCACCAAGACTGGCATCACAACACCTTTCCATTCGAAGATTATGTCAAGCAGGAGCAAGGGCTCCGACTAGATCACGGTGAGTCTGAAGGGAGCGACACTGGATGTTGTGTTGAAATTATGCAGGGAAGAAAGTGCTGATGACGTCCTTCCTATTCAGAATCGACCATTTGCCCGACCTTTCTCAAGGAAGGAAAGTGTCCGCTAGGCAATGCATGCCCAAAGCGACATGTCCCGCTGTTTCAGCCGCCACATTCTTCGGCTTCCCACAATCGCGATGGCACCAAACGGACAGTCTGCAAGCACTGGCTGCGCGGACTCTGCAAGAAGGGTGACGGCTGTGATTACTTGCACGAGTACGATATGCGGACCATGCCAGAATGCAGATTCTTCGCTACCTTTGGATATTGCGATATGAGCAGTGGAACTGAAAGAGAGTGCTTGTACCTGCACCGGGACCCCAAGACGAAGAGAAGAGAATGCGAAGAGTACAACCGGGGTTTCTGCCAGAAAGGTAAGTCTGATACGCGCTTCATACAGACTGCTGCCAAAAGTGCTGATGACCGAAACGATCCTTGCTTCAAACCTGAAGGTCCATCTTGCCCTAAGAAGCACATTCGCCGCGTCATTTGCCCGCACTACCTCGCAGGCTTCTGTCCAAAAGGCAAAGACTGCCAGAGGGGGCATCCAAAGGTCTCGCGCCCATCTGTCGAATCGCGCCGCAATTCGCTCATCCAGACGGTGCGGCCGATGACAGCAGAAGAAGCTTTCGCGCCACCGCCACACTTGCGTGACCGCCAGCCGTATCGCAGTGGTCCAGGTGGTGGTACTGGCGGTGAGATGGGAGGTCGTGACTACCACCGTATGACGGGAGCAGACGACCACGAAGGTTCGCGACGGACTGGCATGAATGCCTTCTCGCAGCAAGGGGGTGCGCGGCAGTGGGGCAATCAACGTGGTGAGCAGATATCACAGTCTGGCATGCCCCCAGCGCAAGGAATGCCGCCCCCGACACTTCCCCCGGGCCTTCAACATCTGGCTCAGCAAGGAGGCTTAACCCCCTCGCAGTCAGGCTCGGATCTCGGCACACCTGGTCCAGCAGGCGGCGAGGATGCCTTCAGTGTCATTCCAGGATTTGGCAATGCCAATGCTGCCACTTCGTTCGCCATGACCCAACAAATGCAGCAGCAACAGCAAGTCATACGCGGCACTCCTCCTTTCAATGGTGCCGGATTCGATGGAGGTGCGGGCGGACATGGGGCAGTTGCAGGCGCCAGCGCCGGAGGACCGGGTGGCCGTCCGCCGAGGAAATTCTTGAAGGATTTAAGCGAGGTTCTATGCTTCAAGTGCGGCGAGCTGGGTCACTTTGCGAACATGTGCCCCAACCCGAACAAGCCAGGGCAGAGGGGCCGAGGCCAGGAGCGTGGCAGAGGAGGTGCACCTCTGGAACGTGGTGGAGGTCATCATGGTGGAGCTGGTTCGTTCACTGGTGGGCCGCCCTCACACTAGCAGCAGCAGCAGTAAAATTGGTAGTTTTTCGAAGTTGGTTCAAGCATGCATGTACTTTCGCCTCATTTGCAATCATGCCGCGCAGAGCAGAAGCTGCATACGCTGCAGCGGTCTTGGATGAGCAGCTGATACTGGCCCTGGCTCGTTGATGCATGCCATGTCCCCGAGCTTTCTGTCCGCGTTGCGACTTGCAGTATTCGATACTTGAGTCGTGACGCTTCACAAGTTTACTATGTTTACTGTTGGTGTACAGCGGTGGCATACTGAGACTGGCAGTGTCCGCGGCGTATGCTCTTTCCCATCGGTCGCGGCATTCTTATCAGGGAAGATATAGCCGGTACAGCCGAGAGTTAGATTGTTTTTGCTCGTGAATTGTGCTGCTATATACGACTTGGCGGGGACATTATCGCTCCCATCTAGGTTGTCACTTCGTGTTCTCTCGTTGCATTGCCAACATTTGTAGCTTGAGCCTGGACGCCGCCTGCTGATCGATCAAACGGAGCAGCAAGAGCCAACTCTCGCGTGAGTGATGCTCCTCCGCGGCGTCGCCCCAATTGGCTGCTATTGCAACCCCGCCAAGAATAGAGGACTCTTTGGGCAGGCCATTTCACCAAGACACACCAGGCGGCCAGTAGATATCTACCCAAGAAGCTCGCTTTCGGGTTCCTGCGTGTATTACAGCAGCGCCGCACCAGATATGCTTACTTCGGTCAAGATGGGAAAGCCAGCAACGAGTGCCTCGGTGCGCCGCGGCAACCGTCCTTCGGACCAGAATACGGGCCCAAAAGGCTCGCCGATGACCCCGATTCCATCAGCGAGTCTCATCGTTCTCTGCCCCACCTCATCGTCTCCGAACCGTTATGAGACAGTAATGCTGCAGCGGTCAGCGCGTGACGGCTCGTCCTTCCGATCTGCTGTCGTCTTCCCCGGCGGTGCGCTCGACCTTGCAGATGAGACGCCTTACCTGACCGATGACCCGTTCAATGCGCCAAGCGCAGAGGATGCCCTCAAGGTACCTCCGTTGACGATGGAAAAGGACGGTGCGAGGTACATGGCTGCCCTCAAGCTTTGTGCCCTCCGGGAGACCTTCGAAGAGACAGGCTTATTGCTCGTTCCGGGAACTAGGACCTCATCATCGGCTGGGGCCGCAGGGCCGCCTCGGTCTAGGGCCATTGGCCACAAGGATGTGGGCATGACCAGCAAAGAATGGGCCAAATTCCGAGAGGAAGTGAGTGGCGCATGGCAAACAGGGTCAGCGGGCGCGGTGCCACTGACGAGTGATTATGCTATCGCTGCCCGCTCCAGGTGCACAACGATGCTTCCGTGTTTCCTGCATTGCTCCGACGCGTTGCATCGGCCGTTGCAGATCCCTCCAGCTCTCCATTGCAATCGCAAGGCTCATCAAAAGGCATTCCCCCTCTTGCGCCAATTTCACACCACAGCAACTGGATCACCCCACGATCCGTCGTCCGACCAGCCAAGCGCTTCGATGCGCACTTCTTCATTACCGTTCTTGACGCCGTGGATGTATTTGGCGCGAAGCAGGGTGACAAACCCACTGCGGGCGGGCAAGCAGCTGTGGTGGAGATCAGTGCGGACGGCACAGAGACTACGAGCTTGAAGCTGACTACCCCGGGGACCCTTGTGCAAGAGGCTTTGCAAGACACGTTTGTCCTCTTCCCTCCGCAGTTCTATGTGAGTGTATCTTGACGGCCTGCGTGGAACACTTCAACTAGCCATCTGGTTGAACAACCATACTTTGCGTTAAACGGTTCAGATCCTTGCCGACCTTGCTTGTGCGATGGAAGCAGGTCCCTCCCTCAAAGGAATCGTGCCCCTCAATTTCTGTTCCACGCTGCCAAAATCATCATCGAGCGGGGAGAAAGCGGCGACTCCCGTTGAAGAAGAAGCGCACAGGCCAGAGGGACGGAGCTTTGCCTGGGATACGCGAAATGCTGATAAGGAAAACCCATCTTCTTCCACCCCATCGCGAACGGAGACGCCTTGGGTATCCTACACGGAGCCGCCGTTTGTGCCGGCGGAGGATTGGCGCATACAAGCGAAAGATATGCTGTCAGGCGTGACGGCGATCGAGCCTCATCCAATGCCACGCGCTGGCACCAATGTCGCCATGCCGACGCGCACAGCAAGCGGGGAGTGGGAGCAAGACACGGAAGACCAGCCGTTCACCTTCCCGCTGTGCTTGCCCGGTGACCGCGATCAGAGCCGCGACCAAGCCGCCGTCGCTGGGCTGTCGTACAGCACCGCAAAGAAGACGGGGACTGCTGGAGCGGTGCAACCAGAGAATAGGTTGTTCGTCTCGCCGAGGACAAAGGCGGACGGAGGAGGCTTGGTTGTGAGAGGGATTAGACGACGTGCGATTGCTGGACTGCGAGATTTTCAGTACGGGACTGTTGTTGACAAGCAGCAGGACCAACAGGACGAGGAGGAAGAGGAAGAGCAGCAACAGAAGAAAGCGAAGTTGTGATTGTACCATATCTATTGAAGTGTTAGAGCACGATGCAGAAGACAAGGGTGCACATCTTGAACACATTCGCTCAAAAGCATCTGTGTGGGTCCCTGTCCAGTTCTGACTATGATACAAACTGGTGTCACTATCTGTACTGCGGCGGTATTTCTTGTTTCCCCTCCTCCACCGTCGGCAAGCGCTTGTGGTACTCAACAAAGCTCTTCTCCCACGTAATGTAGTCCTTCCAGTATTTGTCCAGGGCCTGTTCTTCCGGCGAAAGTGCAGCAGTTGCCGCCGCTCCACTCCCTGCGCTTGATAATCCTACAGGCAGTGTGCTGCTGCTGGGGTTTGGTGTCGCTTGTGTCGCGCTCGAGCTGGCGGGCGTAAAGGATGGTTGGCGAGAAGAGTCATGTGCCCCTCGCTGGCCATAGCCACCAGGTGCACCTGCGTAGCCGGATCCTCCTCCAGGCGGTGGTAACGGCGCATCGTCTTGTGGCGGCGGCGGTGGCGCTCCACCGTCCGTGGGCAGAGGCGGCTGCTGTGCACCCCCATAGCCAACGGTCTCATAATGTTGCTGAGGCCCAGTGCCATACCCACCCAACTGCTGCTGCTGCTGCGGCGGATATGGGCCATTGCCGTATGGCTGATGTTGTTGTGGTGGAAAACCGAGCGCTTGCTGTGCCTTGCCGTACTCGATACGTACTACTTCCAGCAAGTCTTCGGCCAGTCGTTTTGCTTCTACGAGCATGTTCTCGTCCGGTCCGCTATGTCGCGTGAAAGTTGAGAGCCAAAGATGAGGGCGGAAAGGATGGAAAAAATCAGCATTTACAAGCACGACGGAGACCTAGAAAGGGAAGCACTGTTGAGCCAGGCAAGCGAACGACTGACCTGATGGAAATGTGCATAGGTTCATCGCTCTCGCGCCCGGTGTCGAGGTCGATGAAGCCACTCCCGATGCCTTTGATCTGTACTCGCGTTCCCGTCTCGCTCTGGATGTACTTGACAAACAGGCCACCAGGTCCGACGACTTTGGCTCGGATGTTGAAGTTGCGCAGCGATTCGAGGCCGATGAAGACCTTTTCTTCGGGCCACTTGCGCCGTTCGCCTTTTCCCTGCCAGCCGGTATCTTTCGGCCGTGCCTGATTCTCCCACTCGAGGCGCTTCGCTGCGCGGTCCTCGATGAGCTGTGGAACGTCCTGCTTCATCAGATCGGCGATCATGCGTATGCCCTTGTCCAGCGTCTCCTGGTTAACCGCGGACACCTCGAGGTAGAGCGGGGGATCCTGCGCAGTGGCGAGTGACTTGTCCGGATACCAAGTCCCCTTGGTCGTGACGGATGCGCCCGTCTCACGTAGGATGGACTGCTGTGTCTGGCCTTTGGTGAGCATGTAGCGATTGCGTTGGTCGTTGATCTCGATCTTGTGCAAGAACTCGGGCTCTTCTGGCCCGTTGCGACGGCGCTCTGACGCGCCTGCGCTGCTGCTGCTGCTGCGTGGTGCGCCTGTCCCAACTGCGTTGCCGGATGTACTGCTGCCAGGTGCGGCTGCGTACTGCGCTGCAATCTTGGCAGCGGCTGCAGCGGCTGTGGGCCATTGTGGCATGCGAGTAAAAGCAAGAAGGTCAGTCCGATTTCTTGCCTTGCCCAAGCATATAATAAGCAAGCTAGATGGACATAGCGCCAGCTCTCTTTCTTTAGCAACTCACCAGCCGCAGCCCCTCCGCCAGCACCTGGTTGATCCCACTTGCTCGACATGCTGGTTATGGTGGTGCTCGCTTCCTTAGGGATAAGTTCCCCCTCAAGCTTCTCAATTCTCTCGCTTTCAAAATGAGACGGCGCTCCTTCCTGTATCTCAGCTTTCTGTAGCTCGAAGTGTTCGACTCCCTATGGACCTGGCTTCAGAGGCTGATATACTCCACGAGGTGTAAGCTGAAGCTTGTTAGACACCTGTCATTTCATTCTGGCATCCTTCGCGAGCTGGAGAGTGGAGGCTTTCTTTCTTTTCGTTTTTTTCTGGCATGTTCCTTCTTTCTTTTTTCCCACCGCTGGGCGGCTTTGGGGGTGTATGGTGCATGGATTTACAAGATGGCGCCCAGCGGCGTGGACCGGGACTGTGGGCAGGCAAGAGAGAGTTCGCTGCAGGAAGACCACACACGCTTGTGATCATCCTGGGCGATGAATGGATAGAAGAACTCATCGAGGTCCATCCCTCATAGCACGCTTGTTGGCTACTTGAGGCTCTGCCACTCCACCTTATCCCTTTCAAGTGCCGCAGACAGCCGAGGGAGAAAGCAAAAGACCATGTCGCTGGCACGTTCAGTGTTGACGCCTGCCTCGTCGCGCGGCCTCGTCGCCGCCGTTGCGCGGTTAGCAGGAGCCAGCGTCAGCAGTAGCAGCAGTAGCGTTGGTGGCATTGCTGCACGGAGAAGCTTCACCACCACCTCGGCCGATTCGATCAAGGTTGCCGCCGCTGATGATGGCAGCGCAACGACGACCATCACTGTCGCCATCAAGGCCGGACCCAGGTACGAGTCGTCGCCCGGTGTCGCACATGCCCTCAAGAACTTCTTCTTCAAAGCCAACCACAAGCGCTCGGCATTGGCCCTGATCAGAGAAGCAGAGCTCTATGGAGGCTTCTTCTCCTCCAGCACAACCAAAGAGCACATCCTGCTCACCGCAGACTTTTTGCGAGGAGACGAGTGAGCAAGCTTGCTGGGTCCGCACACATGACTGAATTCAAACGGAGCCCTCACACCTATCACCCTTGTCTTTCCCCCTCTTCAGGGACTTCTTCGTCGAGGTCCTCGGTGACGCCGTCTCGCAGGCCAAGTTCGCTAGGCACGAATACAGCGAGTCTGTTGTCCCATTGATCCAGAGCGACGCCGAGTTCGCCGCTGCCAACCCGCTGGTCAGCGGCTTTGACCAGCTCACCTCGACTGCTTACCGGAACAGGGGCCTCGGCGCGTCGCTCTTCGCCTCTCACTCGTCGCCGATCTCGTACAGCGATGTGCAGCATTACGCCAAGTCCGTGCTGGCCAAGAACAACCTCGCCGTTCTCGGCTCGGGCATCGAGAGCGAAAAGCTCGCCAAGCTTGTCCAGCAGCACTTTGCCCCGCTGTCCCCCAGCGCATCCAGTGCCTCGACCACAAAGACCCCTAGCACCTACTACGGCGGTGAGCACCGCGTGCAGTATGCTCCCGCGCACCACGACTCGTCCGCACGCGCCTCGTTCGGCCACGTTTTCCTTGCATTCGAGGGAGCCGCGAACGGCGCCTCGCCCGAGCTTGCCGTCCTGCGCTCCCTGCTCGGCGGTGAGAGCTCTGTCAAGTGGTCGAAGGGCCAGTCTCCGCTCTCGGCCATCTCTGCACAAGCACCCGGCGCTACTGTCTCAGCGTTCAATCTTGGCTTCTCCGACGCTGGCCTATTCGGCATCCACGTTTCCGCACCGCACGAGCGCATCGCCGCTGTCGCCAAGTCGGCCATGAACGCCCTCAAGGAGATCGCCAGCCAGTCCAAAGTGGACGACATCAAGCGTGCCGTCGCCAAGGCCAAGTTCGAGGCGGCTGCTACGCTCGAGGGCCGCGCGGCGAGCCACGAGGCTGTTAGCAGCCAGTTGCTCGAGTCCGGCAGTGTCTCGACTCTTGACAGCGTGTTCAGCGCGCTCGACAAAGTCGACGCGTCCGCTCTGTCCAAGGCGGCCGAGAAGCTGCTCAAGAGCAAGCCGACGACCGTCGTGGTTGGCGACGTGCACAAGCTGCCGTACGCTGATGAGTGCTTGTGAAAAGAGGGAGCGAGAGGGAAGAAGGTTGATTGCGCAGCGACCTGCTCTCAAAGGGTGGGTTGTGAAGCAAAAGCGGATGCACACGCGGAATGGATGAAAGGATGATGTACATAGACACACAACCAACGATTCTCCGTCCACCTCCGGTTTGATGTGAGAAGCGCTAGCCAAGGTAGGGGCAAGGACAGCCTGAGGCCCTTGGGTAGTGTTTCAATCTCTTTGAGGGACAAGCAGTTGACAGGAGCCGACAACATAGCAGTCCCTGCAAGTCAATGCATTTGTAGAGTATACCAATGCGTACATGCTCATCATGTATTCATCGTGCCAGTGCCGTGCCCACCACTTCTCCGCAAATCACCTTTGATCTCTGCGTGCCTCTCCCTGTTCCCTCTCACTTGAAGATATCATCCAAGCCAGCAAAGGGATCAGCCGCCTTGGCTGCTGCTGTTGCTCTCGTATTTGCGCTTGGCGGGACATGAGCAGTAGCGCCGCTTGCCGCCGGCTTGCTCGGCTGCAGAGGCTGCTGCTGCTGCTGGAGCGCGAAAGTCGAGCTAGAGCTGCCGAAGAGCGAGGCGGTCATCGGTGTCTGCTGAGCGACAGCGGCACCACCATTCATCGGCAGGCTAATGCCCCCCAAAACACCTCCCATGCCCGCTGCAGTCGGCTGACTGCTGACTTTCGAAAGGTCCAGCAGCGGCGCCGCAGATGAGCCTGCGCCATTCCGCTGTTGTTGCTGGGACGGTTGCAAAGAAGCAGACCCAGCGGCATCAATATCAAAGCGCAAGGAGGCAAAGTCATCCATGAGCGAGTTAGAGCCCGTTTCTGCGCTTTTAGTTCCAGACGCCGACGCGTTTCCGCCGTCGTCAAAGTCGAAAGAGATGAGGTCGGTGACTTTGGGCGTCGGCACAGCGTCAGCGCCGCCCTTGCTTGGGTCGATGGACGGATCGATGGAGACGGTCGCGCTGAAGTCGCCCTTAACGTAACTTGCATAGCGCGCGATGACCTGATTGATCGTGTCGTTGATCAGCAGTAGTCGGTCTGCGTAGTGGTGCGGCAACCATTGAATAGAATGTGTGAGAAGGATGAATTGGACCATTGAAAAGTGCGATGAAGACCGTTCTGCTCACCCATGGACGAATTCTCATCCTCCTCCTCCACTTCAGAAATCCATTTTTGTAATCGCGGCTGTACGCTCTTGAGCTGTGTGCAGATTTGCTAATCACCAAAAGAAAGGATATCAGCATCACCTCGACAGTGTGACATACACACTACACTCCGCACGCGCGCAACATACATCATAGGCATCGTCCTTGACAAATCTCTCCCCTTCTTTCGCCTGGTTGAGCATGTCATTGAGCAGCACAGCCTTGCTCTGCACTTTATCTAGCTCCTTGGTTGTCTGCGCCTTGTAATCAGGCTTGCTTTCCGGCTCGGCGCCAGACATGATCTTCATCAGCTCCTGCGCCTGGTGCAGATCCTGTGGCCGCCCACGCCGGATGAGCTCTTGCAGCTTGGCAGCTTGCGCTTCTCGTTCCTCTTCTTCGAGCTCATCAGGCGTTTTCAGATTCTACGATGGGCCAATTCATCAAGAAGATAGACAAGATAGAAACAATTGTCAGCCGCTTGGACATAAGGTGAAGAATTTGATTCAGTAGTATGATTCGTAGGCCATCAACTCACATTCTCCGGGTTCAACACCGACGAAGCGCGCGTATCTACATTTGGGAATCGGTACCCTGCAGGAAATGCGGAGAACAACGACTCGAGAGTCAGCTGAGTATGCTCAGGCGACATGAGGTCAATTCCAAACCAGCTACCCACCCTTATAGCTCAGCAGACGATGCATATCGCGGATATGCACCAGATCCTCCTTGTGCTTGCTCGTGATGCAAATCGTCAGCTTCCACTCGTGGATCAGCTCAAGCACTTTGGACTGATACGGCGAGAGGAAGAGCGGCGGACGTTCAGGGAAGCGCTTGACGAGCTCGTTGAGAAATTCTTTGGTCGCTATTTGGAGGTGGAAAGCGTAGCCGCAATTCTTGACTAGCATGTCTAGTAGCTATTTGTTGGCATCATATTCAAGATCAGGAGGTCGAGAGAAATGAGTCGGGTGAAGGCAGCGTGGAGATGAACACGTCAATGGTCCTGCCCAATCACTGTTTGTGCGAAGCACCTTTAAAGCAACTCACGCTAAGTGCGAGCATGGATATGTGCGGGCTTCGCGAATTGATTCTTCGCACGGTTTCTATCGCTGCTTCGCGCGGTCTTTAACAGTGTGGATCAAAGTGGAAGCTGACATGAGCCTCTCCCTCGAACATGAACTTCAGACAACAGTTCAACTTGATTCCAGAAGTACGCACGTATTCGCCTTTTTCCTGTTGACATAGTCTGCTACTTCGAGATTGAGTGCCAAGTTCGGTTCGCCTAGGTATGGGTCACAAGCGCGGTCTGCGAGTGTTCCAGGTAGGGCCATGTGAATGTCAGCAATTATCTACCCGCCTCCTTGAGCCAGTGCTCCTGGCCACTCGTTTCGAATCTGTAAGAGAGATTCAAGCAGGGATTCTCGGGCTCTGTCTCGTTTCACGCACCAACCAGCCTTTGCAATTTGGTCGCCGGCGCTTCGGCGTCGAGATTGCGGGCGGCCCATTCTGCCAGCGTGGTCAGTGCACCGACGGGGCCCTGCTGGTTGGAGGAAGAGGACGAGGAACCGTAGACTCCACTCGTTGTGGGCCGATTGAAGTTGTATGCCATGTCTTTCAATCACTGAGCTTCCCTTGGAGCGTGCGAGTGCCGCGAAGGGTGATGGTGAGCGAGGCTGAGTAAAGTACTGATGAAGTACGCAGACCACTGCTGCCGTTCGTAGATCTGGATATATATTTTTTGGCGGCGCAGGCGATGTCTGGACGCAGGCTGCAAGCACTGAGAAAGGGAATGCCGCTACTATACGCTCTATAGCCCTGCCCACCTGGCTGATGTGCTTCAAGCCCGTCACTGGCAACGGACAGAGGGAGGAGTCTGCAAGCGACTGGAGGGTGCATTCCATCGGCAGCTCAGCTTTACAGCTTCGCATCTGTGGTGCGACTGAGAGGAGCATCAAGGGAGATGCGTGGAGAGCGATGCGATCCGAGGCGGTTTGCAACAACCCTAAAGCCCCGTGTCAATCTATTCCTCCTGTCACTTGCACAGGGGCGCAGCATAAATATAGCCTACAGGAAGGTGCTTTGGGTATTGTTGGTCATAAAAGTTGATGGATTATAACGATACTCTGATCACAGATGCGAGAGACTGATCACGCTGGTCTGATCCTCCCTCTTCGTCGTTGATGGACATGGCTTGTGGGCATCGGCGCCGGCGGTTCCCTGCACTCCAAGGCTCCGAAATTGCGAGTGCGCGGACGTGATTGAGGGCGCTGTTCCCCGTCCCGCCACGAATGGATACGCGTGACACAATTGATGGAAACAACGCTATCGATGACAATGGCCGTACCCGGCTTCGCTTCCCATGTCAGACCAGACTAGCAGCTGATGAAGTTTTCAAATATTAAAAACATAGCTAGCAGGACGTGCAAATCCGGTAGCAATTGCGAGCCGTGAAGGGCGGAGACATCTTCGTCGCCTCTCTCCCACCAGAAAGCAATCTGCGCATTGTTCAGCTCCCGCTTCAAGGTGGTCCTTACACCGCTGCAACGGCCGCTACGACGAGCGACACGGTACAGAGAACGAGAGTGGCGGCATTTCCTTTCTGTCGCAGTTCCCATCTCCTGCGCCATGTATCCGAGCCCTACTCTTACCCCTAGCGCCCCGTCTTCCTGTGTTTACCAGTACGAGCGATGGATTTCACGTCGGTCGCGCACACTCGACTCGCATCGAAGGAGACTGATGCATGCTGTCCAAACACAGAATGCGAACTATCTACAGCGATGCATAAACATCCAACAAAGGTAACTTCAGCAGCAGCATAAGCTTTCGCAACGACACCTGTCATAACAGCACCATCTTTAGAGCAGATACGGACGACAGCGCTCGGCCCAGCAGCTCGGTGCGCAACCATCTCGACCTTGAAGAGCCCTCAGATTCGGAAAGGCTCGTTCCAGCGTGCAGGAAAGTTTGTGCCTACTACCTTATCATGCCAACCTTGATGGGCACATGCCACCGCATGCTATCGTGCTTGATTACCGTTGGGCCCCTCGAATTACCGCGAGTGAAGACGCCGTCAAACTCGGTTCTTTCCTGGCTGAAGCCTCGATTCTGACCGTCGAAATACCTGCTCTTGTCGATTTGCGGCTCTATCCAGGCCTTCCGCTTGACCACGACGCGCTAGAGTACACCCGCCGGCCGCGCACGATCATCGAGTGCTGTCTGCGCATCTCCGACAGAAGGATCGACCTGAAGTCAGCCAACCGCAAAGTGGGTATGCACGCCGCTGTCGTGGCGGAGAATGTCTAGAGGTATGTCAGGGAGGAGTTACAGTCTCGGGTCAGCAGGCGGCTGCAAGGGATGAGCTGAATCATTTGGGTGGTGGCAAAGGTTCCACGAGATCATCTTGGGCTGAGCGTCAATGATTATCAAGACTCGACACGCACATACATGGTAGCAGGTTGACTACATGCTGCATCTGTTCGCGGGAAGTATTTGCATCAAGGTTGCGACGGGCGTGAATGAGATCGGGCTGGTTACTCATTAGAACAAACGCGTAATGGCTTCGTGTGGATCCATAGGAGCAGCTTCTTTCTCGTCCTTGGCCTTCGTCTGCGCTCGCTTTGCCTCCAGCTGTGCCCGGAAGCGCGTCAGATGGTGCAAGCGGCTGACCCAGTCTATTTCGTCACGGAGATGGAGGCACAACCAAGGTCGTAGAATCAGCACAATTCTCTTCTAGTAAGCGAGAAGATAGCATGGCGCGCCATCACGACTCACTACTCGTGTATGGCTGCATCGACTCGCCGGTGTCGAGGTAGATTTGACTCATCAGGTTGCTGTTAAGCGCGAGCACCCGCACAAAGTCTGCAAGATTGTCTTCGGAGACCATGACACCATCACCGACAGGGGAGAAAGCGGGCATACCCGGCCGACATTGCAAGGACACGCGATCTTCGAACGGTAAATGCAAGCGGGGAGTGGGGCTTGCGCGTTAGCATGATGCACACACGGTCCAGCACGTCCATCGTCCAGCATGTTCACGATCCAGCACGTTCACTTAGAGTGCTTGCCTTCCAACTCACAAAAGATAACATCGTCCATTGCGACTGAGCCAAATTCTACACCGCCGCGCGAGTCTGGTGAGATGACAACGTTGACGTAGTTGAACTGACTCGGGATCGTGCCGAATTTGTACTCCTCGCCAGATTCGTTGAAGACGATGTGGACCCAGTCGTTGCCAATGAGCGCCTTCTTCGCTCGGTGAGCGGCATCTTCGACTTTGTTGGGCATGAGCGTTGCAGTGTGGTAGACGATCTGCGCGATCTCGTCTCCCCAGATATAGGCCACGGGGCCATGTTCGTCATTCGATCGATCCAGACCTCCAATATAGACATCCTGCTGCTCCTTCAGCACGATCAAATCTCCGAGCCTCGACAGTAGGCGTGAGTAGGCAGCAGAGCCATGTCTGTTGCCCAGGATTTCCTTCTCTGTGTTCTGGCCCTTGCCGACGTACAGGACGCCAATCTTGTGGAAGTCGACGACTGGAGTGAGGTCGACAGCACGGATCATTCTGTCTGTCGCTGGCTCATCAGGGAGCATGAGAGGTGCGCGGCTGAGATCAATGTCCGGATAGGACGACAGTTGCAGAGCGATGAAGCTGGGATCAGTCATCGCAACAACGCTGGTCTTGTTGGTGCCCGTCGCTTGTTCCTTCTCTGCTTTCTGCTTGCCCTTTGCAGGCTGTGATTCTGCCTCTACCCTCAAAGCACTCTCCATGATTTCTTTCATCGCTCGAGTGACTTTGTTCTCTCCGCCCTGATATGGAGACGATACCGTCGCATCGTTGCTGGGCACTGTTGGGCTGAGCACAGCGTCACTAAGCTGGTCTCTCCGAGAGAAAATCTCAGCGCCTGCGTCAGCTGAAAGGGCGCGGGGACGCTTCCCGAGTCCGAACTTGGCAGGCCCAGCAAGTCGTCGTGTTTGCGTCGATAAGCCTCGACGAAGATGTTCTTGCACAGTCAGCACTGGTATGGGCGGGGCCTTGATGACCGGTTTCGACAGTCGCTCCGGGTCGCGATTCGACATCAGCATCTCGGGAGCATCGTCCAGATCATCCACTGCTGGTACGCCATCCTCGTTCTCCAGCTTACATAGCATCGCGGTGGCGCCGGACGGTCGTCTGATAACGATCTCCACCCAGCCTTTGCGATGGAGCGAAGTGAACGTGACGATCGATTGGCCGTACAGCCACGACTTTGTGATGCGAGTGGCATCCTTCACGCCTGGCCTGCCAATGCCTACTGATGACGGACCCATCAGGACCGAGTTGATGAAGGAGCGTCGAGGCTTGGGTTGTGCATTTGCGTGCGTGGCTCGTGCAAGGAAGTCGAACATGGTCTCGGTCTGATCCGAGATCTTCTCTCGCCCTTCATTGGCCAAAATTAGACCACGAGCGATGGCATGCATGTGTTTTGGTCGCTCGCTGACGCGAAGCAGCATAAACCACAGAGCTAGGCTGTAATACGCCATCATCATCACGTACTGCGAAAGCGCGAACGCTGCTGGGCTGGCCCTAAAGTCTTCGCGCGACGAGGCTGCGGGGCTTTGATGGTACTGGATGTACTGCAAAGCAATACCAAATACCCGGCGGTAGTCAGCCTCCGTGAAATTCGCATGACAAGCCGGCATGTGCCCGATCGAGACGATGAGTTCGAGAATGTGCACGCTCATGGCCGTTGAGGACATGACAGTCGATAGCTTCACAAGGCCACCAGACAGGAGGCGAGTGAACGACTTTTGGAGCTCAAACGCTGCAATTGAAAGAGCTTTGACACAGGCTCTGGCAGTGTTCTGGGATTTGTTGAGTCCTGCTAAGAATGACTCTACCATCTCGTCTTGCTGCGATCGCGTGAAGAGAGTGCGATAGCTGATGAGGATGTGCAGAGTAAAGTAGGCGACAGCAATGAGGTCGGTACGCCTGAGTTCAGTCGGCAGTGTGGCTTTGGAGCAGAGGCTAGAGCTGGGCAGTTTTGAGCAGAGTAGCTGGCGCAGCTTTAGCACCTGGTCCTGCGCACGTGGACCACAAAAGAGATATCGATTTGCGAGTTGGAATGGCAGATGGCAGAGGACGTACGAGACCAGGTCCCAGTCCTGCTCATCGGCAAGGATCGATATGATCGCACTGAGCAGCTCAGAAATTGGTAGAGGAACCGCGCTCGGCGGCTCTTCGGCGCTAGGCGACGAAGCGTCTTTCAGGATGTATGTTGAGACAATGTCGCTACGGACGGACACCAGTGGCATTTCGAACAAGACGCGCTGAGGAAGATGCCAATGTAAAGGCTTATCCGCGACGTTTCGTCCAGGAGGCGGTGCGCGACTGCGTTCCCTAGCCCTTCGAGAATCCTCTCGTGCGTCGTCCCCTCTGCCGCGTCCTCGATCGCGGGACTCCTCTCTGACTCGTGATTTGGAGCGGTCACTTGCTTCTATCGGACGTTCGGTGGCGCGCCCAGCCCGAGCAGGCGCTTCGTCGCGCACAGTTGTCGCCACGTGAATGCCTCGGCCCCTACCCAGCATGCGAGCATACGGCTCGATGTAGTCATCGAGGTCTTGTAGGACATACAGGCGATGCCTCCGGTCCGTGCGAAGTCGCAATGCCCACTGTAATGCGCACAGTCGAGAAACGATCGGTACACGCCCTTGAGACTGATCCTTCCCTTCAATGACAGGGTCCTCGATGATCCGGACAAGGTCGCGGAAGAGCAATACGCAATGCCTTCTTGCAGAGATTTCACCAACATGCACACTGTTAGGCGCTTCCATCCGCGCGGACGATAGTGTCCATGGCGCACTGAATGCCATGCGATTGAAAATGGCGATGAGATCGAGGGTAGCGTGGACGCTTTTGGGTACGGTAGCACGGTTAGCGGAGTGCAAGCAGAAAACTCGGTCCTCCTTGGGCAGTGGAACACTGCGCACAAGCTTTGACAGCAGCTCTCGAACTGCATTGAAGACGTTGGAGTTGTCGTCCAGCGATGAGTCACCCGACAAGGCTGGTTGATCCTCGTCGCCGTCCTCTCGCAGCCTGACCACTTCTTCCGCGGCGCCAGCCGATGCAGCTGCTTCGACGAGCGAGCTTCTGACCTTGGAATGCACTGCAGGATCGTTCTCCATCCCGAAGGACGCAGTTGCAAGCGGCAGGATCACATTGAGCATAAGGTTCGCTCTATGATGCGGAAGATCAAAAACGGCGACATAGACGTGCTCAAAGACGAGGGAGACAACGCGCTGCCTTGCGTTTGGGGCCGGTGTAGAGCCAAACTCTTGCGCCAGGCCGTCGGACCGATAGAAGATAGCTTGCAGCAGAGCCTTGATGTTGGCAATCCAATCAGTGGTGCAAGGAAGACAGAGATGCTGCGACCAGTAATAGTCCACCAGATCTGTCACTCTGTCGTCCGGAAGCAGCGGTGACAGGCTGAGCATCAGCGATGCCAGCCGCCTAGACCAAGGGATCGCCAAAGACTGATTGCTGCTATCTGCCTGTGATCCACTCTGCCCTGGACGAGCGAAACGACTGCTGGAAAGGAACTGCAAAAATGCCGTGACTACTGGGCTGACAATTTTGGCATCACTTGATATTTGCTTCACCTGCTTGGATTTCTCGCCGCTTTGGGGGAAGAAGGAAGGTGTCCCAAGCGACGAGCCAATCGCTTGCAGATGCCGTTTGGCCATGGCAGTAAGCTCGAGCATATTGTCCCAATCCATCGTGGTAGTGGGAGCCAGGCAGGTGGCGCGATTCGGCGCTGATGCGCTTCTCCCGCGCGTGATGAAGAAAAAGAGTTTGATGAGTTCCAGATCAACATCATCGCTCTCTAACTGCACAGCTCCGCGCAGCGCGGGCATGACGATTGGAAGGCTCAAGGCAGGTGCCAGTGCATCTTCTTGTGCTCCCGCGCCAGAGCATGGCTTTGCTGTTTGCAACTGTGAATGTACTGCCTCTTCTGCAAGATCGTCGATATACTGGGCGGCGGACTGAAGGAAGCGCAGTCCACCGACCAAGAGCGGCTTGTCGATGTTCGCCAAGGTACTCCTGGATGTCGGCTTGGCAAGTGTGTCGACGACCGTCCTGACGGCAGAATTGGCATAATGGCTTCGCAGCAGGTTGTTGTGGATCCGCAGTGCTTGCTCCCGCCAATCCGATCGAACTGACTTTGCCTTCTCTTTCCCAGAAGCATCGGCTGATTCCGCTTGGCCCAGAATGCGGCAGAGCATCAGGACGATTGGCGAGACACTCTGTGGCGGGACAAGGCCGAAGCGCAGAAGCGAGTCGAGCACCTTGAAGATGGCCCGCAGATCCTCGGTGTGCAACTCGATTAAAGGATCGAGTTCTTGAATGGATGCTGCCTCCTCTTTCAGCTCACCTACTGCGTTGGATGCACAGACACTGCTCGTGCGGCCGTCAGTACTGCCACCGAAGGGGTTGGATGCCACTGTAGAAGGGGAAAGGGTAGCAAGAACGATCGGTGCTGGCGCCTTCTGGCGCGGAGGTGATGCGAGTTCGGGCCCTGAGTCTGGTAACGTCTGCGGCTTCATCCTTGGGGTAAGTCGCGGCGTATCTGTTGGGGATGTGCTCTCAGAAGAGTTGAGCTCCAGGCCGTAGTACGAATAGCCTTCTGTCAGCGGCTTTCGCTCCTTTGACCTTGCTCGACGTTGCGGCCGCAATAGTGGCGAAGAGAGAACGGGCCGCGATTGAGAAGCAGGCAGAGGTTGCTCGCTGGAAGGCACTACCTGCGCTGTGGCGATGTCTTTTGGGGCTTCGAAGGGCATGACAAGTCCGCAAAGCGTTCGTAGAGTGCTCTGAATGTTCCCAAGCGGTATCCTGGCAAAGCTGAACTTAAAGGAGTTGGAGACCAGCTCAAGGATGGCGTGGAAGTTCCACTCCTTGACTGTCAGCTCACTGGCAAGGTCCGCTTTGTCCCTCAAATTCGCACCTTCATCTTCTAAAGTAGCTAGCAAGCGCATGCGCACACGCGCAGCGAGCAACGCTACCCAAGTTGAATTCATCCACTCGCTAAGCAAGCCGATAAGGCCGGGGAATGCCACCATCTCCCTTCCATCGCGGGACAGCACGCAAAATGCCCGCAGCTGAGCGGCACGCACATGATGTGCTGGAACGCCATCGGCAGATTGCATAGATTCGAAGGGCGAAGCGCCTGAAGACGAACGGGAGAGACCGCAGATCAGGCGATAGAACAACGCTCTGTCGATCGTGGTAAGGACGACCTTTCCGACAGCTTGGTCCAGAACGGCTTCGCCGACAGAGACGCTGCGGCTCATTGATCCATGTGAGCTGCATAGGTCGGCAAGCTTGACTGACGCCGTGAGCAGGTCTGCCGTATAGATGTGCAGCTTACTGAGCGGCGCGTCGCCGTCCAACAAGATGATGCATAGTTGGAAAACGCTGCTGAGGCTCGGAAGGCAAGGCTGCACTGTGGTATCTGCGATCGCTTCGGACGCCTCGTCGCTTTGCTGCTCTTGCTGCTGCTGTTCGAAGGTTGTGCTCGTCTTGACAGCGACGGTCAAGGCGAGGATCTTCTGGCAGATCACTGATGTTGCTTCATCGCTCTGCGGCTGTGTCAAGGGGAGCGCCGTTCGGATGTCGCCCAGAAGCGCTTCGGCAGCCCCGGCGTCCTTTGGGACAAATGCAGCGATCTTCTCGGCATCTGCGCTTGCGAAGTCATGCAGATCCGCGGTAGTCTGGAAGGCATCGAAAGCTGCAGCCGACGAAGCCGTTGCACTCAAGAGAGCAGCTGAGGACGGCGCAGATCTCGACGAGCCCACATTGACGGAAATCGTCTGAGCAGAAACTGTCGACTGCCGTTGTCGGAAAGTGCGTAAGAGTTGCTGTCCTAGGCTTGGTTTCGTCGTTGCAGCACCACTTGCGACGTGACTGCTGGTACTCCTTGATATATTCCCTAATCCGGTTGCCGCTACAGATGGAGAAAATTCCGTTCCAACAGGAAGCGCAGCGCTTGTCGACGCCGCCCTCCTCCTATCGCCGGCCATGCGGTCGGTGGTCTAAGGGCATGGAAATGACAATCAGCATGCGGTACGCCCTGTACGACTTTTCGCTGCTCGTCAGCGTGCACCTACGTTCCGGCGGGGCAAATATATTCCCTCTTCAAACTCAACCCCAAGCCTGAGCACAACGTATTACTACTTCCACGTCTGAACACTCACGCCGAATTGGAGAGCTGCTTCTCCAAATGCCTCAAAAAACCTTGCTCCATGTCAATGCAGTAGAGATCATACAATTGTATCGGATCCACATATATTATTTGTGGATTGAACCGAGCCTGTGCGAGGACTGCATACTATCGCGACCCCTCAATGTCTAGATTGCGAGGAGCGGCATGACTTACTCTCGGACGTATCTCGGCCGAAAAAAAAGTTGAGCAGCAGTCGGAAGCAAAGTAGGGTTGGCACCATTTGAATCATAGGTGAATGTTTGAATAATTTGCATTTTCGCTTGTGCGATTCATAGTAACTGGAGCAGTCAAGACTTGAGAGTGCGGGTCAACAACATGTAAATCCCAACGAGCATCTCCAGGTGTGTGGATCGTATGTTGAGTGCTGCTCCGAGCATCCCGAGCCCGACCGCCAGCGGCGGCAACCAGTTGCACTCTTCTCGTCAGCTCACCAGCGATCTCTCAAAAGCAACCTGTACGCACTCGCAGCAAACAGTCGACAGCGCAGTTTGCCCGCTCGAGAGCCCCAGACAGAGCACGATGTCTTCCTCGTCCGTTACGAGCGCTGTCTCCGCGCTGGAGGAGAGCAGCCTGATGGGCAGCATCTCTTCCTTCATCTCGTCCTTCTTCCCAGTCGCGCACGCTGAGGTGAGGGCTGTAGCCAGCGCCTGGTATGGGAAGCTCTTGACAATGATCGCTGACTAGCTCTTCTGCTTACAGGAGGGAGAGGGGGAGGATGGAGACTCTGGAGAGGAAGAGGAGGTAAATACTCGCTGCACTGATCGCCTCGTAAGGGACGGACCAGCTGACAGTGTTATGCCCGATCCAGGATGATGACGAGCCGGAAGACGTGAGAAAAAGTGTCTAGCACGCATCATTTTAGCCTCTGCTGAACCCTGATTCTTTACCATGATACCTGCTTCGATCAGCCACAAGAGACCATCTACGCCGGTGCGCTTCCTTCCGTCTTAGGATTCTACGGAAGAGCCGCAGAAACTAACATCAGCTATTTTCTTTTCTGGCTTTACCACTCCTTTTTCCTCTGGCCGGCAGATTGCGAAAACTCAAAGGCTTGCGCACCAGCAAAGCATCACTTTGATGCGTGCCAATCACGAGTCCAGGAGGGCAAGGGATTCAAGGGCGAGGACTGCATCGAGGAATTGTGCGTATGGCCCTTAAATTGACTTCCTCAATATTGAATTGACCCTTCCAATTCTATTGCTCCACACTGCCCGCTGCAGCTGTGAGCCGCATTTCCTTTTCAGCTTGGGCACCTACGTCCATCGAGCTTGAGTTTTGACTAACGAGCGATGTACATACCCCTACAGTCCACCTTGCCCACTGCGCATCAGAGTGCACAGCGCCGTGAGTTGCATTTTACGCCCCCCATCAAATGAACAAGGCACACTCACAATTGCTCTGTCGCTCTTTCATGGCGTTCAGGAAGCTGTTCAAGAGGCTCGTCTAGGCGTCCATATACACCATCGTATGGTTAGGCTCGCACCAGAGATGGCAGGGAACGCGCATGCGCAAAGGTCCGGTTGGACGCAATGCATTGCATGTAGTTGGCGAAAGTGCAACCTCAGATTCAAATCACAAATGATCTATCTCGGCTTCACACAATCGTTTCCCTGATGCGGGTCTGATTGCTGATCTGTGATTCTTAGTACCTTTTTGATCTCGTTGCTCTTTCTTCAGCATTGGTCAAAAGCGATTTAGTATCATCGCTGACTTCTGGCCGCTGACCTTTGCCCGGCATCAAGGTCGTGCTGACACGTGCAACGCTCGGTCATTCGATATCTCAGACGCAGGAGGATAGCTGTGAAACGTCGGGGTCTTCGTCTGCTACTCTTACCCATCTCCAGATCGAGAGGTACAAGTCAGCACTGCCACCTGTCGATAATTCGTGCGACACGCAGCAGCTGAACGTTCATTGCTTGAGACTCTTCAGCAAGGCGCACCAGCTCGTGGGCCTTCCACACATGCGCCCCCCTTGGCAGAGACAGCATGTGGCAAGACTGCCAACGTAAGCTCGGCGTATCCTCACCGGAAGCAACGTCTTGGGTCCCCTCTTGATGCAATTTAGCCGCCTGTTGAATGTCAGCAGGTCAGAGAACGCTTTTGTGCGGCTATAAGATGGAAGGAGCCGACCCTTTTTGCTCCTGCCAGGATGGTTGTCGGCTTGCTACGATAGCTTCCCGTTGTCGACGCCTCGTGGACTTGCACATGATGCGCCCTCTTACTCGATTTCCTTATGGGGTTGCTGAGGTTAAACTCGAAATTAGCTTACTGAGCGAATCAGCAGAGTGCAGGCCGTGACAGACATGAAGAGGATGGTAGTCTGCAGGTAGTCGCAAGCCGTAGGCCTAGCGTTTTCTCTGTGGAAGCATATGTACATGGAAGGGCGCGCGGTAAGTCAATCGAGTCCATGTAACAATAGATGAGCGAATGAGCACTTCCCTTCCATCCTTGCGCGTTCTTGCAGGGTCTCGGAGGTTCTTGGTGGTCCGGGCTTCACTGAAGTTGCATGTGGCAGCAGGTAGCGGTAACTCTGTGATTGCGTGTCATTGTTACGCGTGTCATCAGACATCAGACATGAGTAATCAGTAGCTGTACATCAGCAAATTCAATCAGAAATCAGCAATTAGTAAATATCATCAGTGAAGTAATAAGAATCATTATGTATTAATCAAGTGGTAAATATGATCGGTGAACTCATCAGAATCAAATTTATATTATTCAATTAGAAACCACAGTTTGTAAAATTGTTCAGTAATATAATATAATCAATACTCGATAGAATAAAAAGGTGTGTAAAAAGGACTTCGTCATTGGTGGGCACCTGGCCAACTGCATTACTGGAAGGAGTGAGTCGATGAGACTTGCAGTTGATAACTGATGTACATCGTAAAAGTTGGCCTTCAGCCATACATACCAACGACCAAGATGCCCATCATAGATCCCATGCACGTTCAGGCATTTATGCATCCTTGAGATTTGAGGTCAATTGTCGATTGGTGAACAGGCAGCTGTAAAAAAAGAACAATCTAGTGTGCGATTTGATTCCTGCCATTCAAATGCGACATTAATTGTATCTATTGAACATGTACATATGCCATGTTGGACTTACTAGATGAACATGGCGGATGGCATGAACTCATTAAACCACGAAAGAAACGATGCTGCAAAAGGACGGAACCTGCCGCCTGTCGGACAGCATGTGAACGATTCACTGGCGTTGAGACTTCCTAATCGCACTCGAGGTGTGGATGGTCGGATGAGGCGACGCGCGCATCGATGAAGCCCTGATTAGTGAGAATCCGAGATTTTGAGACACCACTGTACTACTAGTCCAGAACAAAGGGTAGCATGGTGGCAGTCGCTCCCAACATCAGGCCCTCTGTGCCACTCACATACTGGTGACGCCTCCTCAAGTCCTCGCATGACGCATGGGGCTATGGAAGGCTGGAATGGAAGCTGCGGGACTTCAGAGTACGTAGGGCAGGTTCATATTCTGATACCACTTGTACCTATGCCTGGGCTCTGCGACTCTGTTTTGCGTACGCATATAGTCTAGTCACATACATAGGGAGCCTGTGCGCTATGTACGAAATTTACAAATGCCATATTTTGGTGCATACGAGTATGTGTGATGGCGATAATATGTTATGTAGACTGCTGCCTGATGAGTGCTGAGCCCTGAGTCTTGTGTGTACCACTGTTACAGGCTCGCAATGTCTTGTGCAAGCTGGCAATTTGCACTTGCCATCTTGCAGTTCTTCATGCTTCATTTGTAGGCCGGGCTGATACCGTGGTCCGCACGATGATGCCTCACATCTGGCATCAGAGTGCCACGTGTTGGAAACTTGGGATGTTCTATGTTGTTTCAGAGTTCCAGGCTTCTGTGCATGTGGCAGGTCATGATCAGAAAAATGAAAATCAGTGTTTTGGATGCAAATTCCGGTGGTTCAAGCCATTCCAGGGGATGGGTGAACTAGGAATGTTCGATTCCAACACAAGGCATGGCGTGTTGTGACACCCACTAATACTCACAATTATCACCTCACTACATACTGAGGCTTCCAGTTAGACAGTCCCCTGGCACTGTGGCATCCGGCCGGGGTTCTGTTGTTCCCAGTCGATCGGATCACTCCGAAAAGCCGTCGGGGTCCGCTGCAGAGCTACTTCGTTTGCACTTGTGACGTTAACTCTGTTGTGGCCCCGACCGTGCCTCATATGTATTTCGACCACGGTCGCCGACCAACATCAGCAGGCTACCAGGCACTAGCCAGCACCAACGTACATGACATATAGACCTTTTCATATTTTGTATTTTAGAACAAACAAAACGCAAGAGAGTATATATACATATGTAGACTGCATGTACGTTCGAAACTAACCCGGCGGAACTATACCAGGTCCGCTAATATAATCTTTCAGGCACAAAGAATGTATGTAGACGCCCTCATTCCCCAACCAGACGCTGGGCTCCTGCTTCTCCTGGAATCCGTCCGCCCACACTACATGGCCGTAGGAAAATGGCAAAATCATTGGTCTGGCGTGAACCGAGAGTGATGGCACCTCTGGCCGTGCTGTCACTTTGGCAAAGGTGATTCCCCGAACCGAACCAGATACCGCTGGTGCCCACCCCGAGTATGAAGTTTAGCGGGTTGGGCCGCCGCTCTAGCTGCAGGTGATCTCACCAAATGCCTTTTTTGCACTATGCTTTGTACGTACATCCAAGATCGGATATCCATGCACTCCGCCGATTAGTTACCGCAGGTTTTTGCGAACACACTGCCACTTCCCTTCCGGTTTTTTTCCAAAGTTCTCCCAAAAGGCGAGATTTCGGAGAATCGCAAGATCTCGCTCCGTTCTCCAGGCTCCAGCATTGAATAGTGTAAGCTGTAGCTGAAAGCCTCTTACCGTTGTCTGTGCACAAAGAGTCAGAAGAGTGAAATCGATGAGCCAGCACACGCTGTGTTTCGCGGTACATATGTATTGGTCTCATCAACACGGTATTCTCATCACGCATCACAGCACGTCCGTCGACTTTTATCTCCGCTGTTGACCGGAGAGTCGGTCGGACAGCAGGCGTAGCAATAACACTTGTGGGCCAAGAGAGCTATTCGTAGTTCGTACGGCCTCGCACAGCTGAGCATTGAAGCGAGGTGGCCGCGCAGTGAGCACTCCAGCGCACCGGTTCTTCTATTCGCATGCACCATCGATGCGCACACTCTTTTCATCTCGTCCACGACTCCCTACCTCTCGCTCGTTCATGCGGGAATAGAGTATCTTTCGGCTTGTCCGCATCCACGTCTAGAGCAGCTCACCCAATAGCAGCTGGGAGGCGTTGACAGCCTGCAGCCATAGCGAAGCAAGTTGTAGCCAACCAGAGGACACTCTCGTAAGCGCCGACTGCATCACCACCGATCAGCGGTCAACCTCGGTGTTTTCTTTTGCCCCACAAACCTCCCGAATGGCGACATCCGGCGAGAAGGCGGCCAGCTTGCCTGGCGACGCGTCTGATATGGCATACATGTACGCGCCAATGCACCAAATCACGAGCGGTCGCGAAAACATGTAAGTGGAGCATCTCACGGCGAACTACAGTCATCGCGGATGTCCATGCTGATGCTGTGCATCGCAATGTGCAGTGAGTACCAACTGACGATCCGAGAACAGCCAAAACATTCTCGCATGTGCGGTATTGGCGAAAAAGGTAGGCTGAACGGCATGGTGATGAGCCCTCTCGAGTGTTGGCTGACACCAGTCTCGTGCAAAATGTGTGATCATCAAGCCGATAGGAGACCCATCGACCCAGCTCCGATTGTCCAGCTTCGAGTCATTACGCATGAACACGCGGTCTCTGCCGTTCAGACTCAAATACATCCCTTTTCTGGAAGAAATGTCACAGGAAGCACAGATTTTCAGGGCACGCTCAGCGATGCTGACACCGGCAGTGCGGATCGCAACATTTCAGCCGCGTCTATGCTACATCGCGGTGTCGCCGTCACTACTTCTTTTGGGACGGGCTGGGAAGACAAGGCTTGGTACCTCGACAATCCATATTATTTCATGTACGCCATGCTGGCGGACATCGAGACAGACGAAGAGTTGCATCTTTTACCCGACGGAAAGACAAGGTACACGACTGGTAGCTGCGTCTCATGCCTTTACCACCTGAAGGACATCGACGGCAGTCACCAAGGCTTCTTTATCTTTCCAGATCTGAGCATCCGCGTCGAAGGGAGGTACAAGCTCAAACTATGTCTGTTTGAGACGATAGGGTGAGTACACGGTGCGCCTTCGACCAGCATGAGGTTCTGACCGCGGGGACTTATCAATTTTCTCCACTTCTAGGCACGGTGTCTACCACTGCAAATCCATCTACACTGCTCCTTTCAATGTCTATACAGCCAAGCGGTTTCCGGGAATGGAAGAATCGACGAAGCTCTCACGCGCTTTCGCCGATCAGGGTCTCAAAGTCCGAGTGCGGAAGAACCCACGCTTGCGTCGCTCGGCAGCCAAGAAAGGAAGCGACGACACGGATGACAAGCCGGATGATCCCGTCGAGGGCCTAAAGAGACCAGCGAAAAGAATCAGAAGCGATGATCACAGTGCATCCGTCCCACTCAGCATGTCAGCGCCTTCCGCCATGGCCCCAGGGGACTTCGGCATGTACGGCTCTTCGGGCAACTACCGGCCGCAATTCCAGGAATTGGCCCGTTCACAAGGCTACAACAGCAGCCCGCCGTCCAGTACGAGCCCATACTCCTCTCGTTATCCTGAGACTGTGTCAGAAATACCCCAGGGTGTGCCTTTCAGAGGCTATGCCAGAGAAGGCGACCAGTACTATGAACGCACAGGCTCATCTCGTCTGCCACCTGCTCCCGTGCAATCTTACACCCACGCGGACTCGCGCTATCGGGCTCCTCATTATCATCCCATGAGTGCGCCAGCCAGCCAGACACGATTTGCGGATACTTCTGGACAGCAGGCCCTGATTCCGCAGCAGGCGCAGCCATATGACCGTCCCAACTCGCAACAGCCGTATGCGCCTCCACCACCGATGTACAGGTACAGCCCTCCATCAGGCAGCTATGCAATGGGTGCGCAGCCCGGCATGTTCCATTCTGACACACTTCGTGCAGCCCCTCAACCCAGTTTTGATTCGCCGCAAGACATGCGCAACCGTTTCCCTGACGTGGCTTCTGTGCGGTCTCCAGCCGCGGCTGCAGAATACGATGTTAGTCGCTCTCTCTTGGGCGGGCCGCGGTCGTCCACTCCAGCTACCGCCACAGGTGCAACTCTTCTGCCATACGCGCCAGCAGACGAGTGGAGTCAGAAGACTCATGGCCCTGGCCGCTCGCCACCTGCAGCGGGACGGCACTCGGCTGCAACGAATAGACCATTCCGTGGTTCACCCGCCCCTTCACCTCCCCAAGCGCGCTACGATGACCGCCAGAAGCAACAGCAACAACAACAACAGCAGCAGCAACAACAACAACAACAACAACAACAACAACAACAACAACAACAACAGCAGCAGCAGCAGCAGCAGCAACAGCAATCTACCTATGGGCAGACAGGAGTTCAATTGACGCGCGATCCGTCCGACATGGCTCTGCGTACACTGGCCGACAGAGCCGTGGCGTCCTCTCCGTTTCCTTCGCGCCACAGCAGCATAGACCGGCCCACGCTGCCACCTCTCTACACATTGCCGTCCATCGCAGGAGGCAGCGGCGGCACAGGTGCTGGCGCGAATTCCCAGCGAGGGGTGTACAGCCAAGAAGAGTTTGCTGCCCAGAGCCCTCGCTACGCTGAGGAGCAGCACACCTACCAACAAGGAAGGCGTCAGCCTCCCCTGGCATATGGCCCACCTTCCGCCCTTCACATGACCGCGGCTGGCCGCAGTACACCGCTTCCCCCTCCTCCACATCCACCTCCGAGCAGCTCCGCTAATCAACGTCCGGATCCCTTAGATCAGCAGCAGACTCAGCCAGCTTCCTCTGACTACGGACGCTATTCTAGATAAGTTCCTTGCTAATATCGCCCACGCAATCGTCATCACGACATTGCATCGCAGAACCATGCATTATTGTAACTTAATATTGGTGCTATCGCCAAAAGAAGCGCTTACTCGTAACTCGTTCTCTTGCTAACCAACTCGATTCAAGCTGCGGTGATGTAAAGTACTGGTCATGTTCCAAGAACGGGTCAGCGAGGGTCGATTGCATACTCTCAGACCTCAAGAATAACTTACCGTTGTTTCCTCGGATGAACGCATCCCCGTATGACGACTTCATCTGACCATTTACCCACTCCGTCGTCTCTTCGAGCGCGATGTTCATGTAGCCATCGAGGCATGATAATGTCCCTGTAGGAGAGATTAGGGTGCTTCAGCGCTGAAAGGTCAGCAAGGTGGTGGGTTAGATGTGAAGCCTGCGTACCTTTGTAGTCTACTCCAGAGTTCAGTCGCACTACGACAGGCTTGCCAATGACACCTGAGAGAAATGAACGTGCAGGAAGCGATGCGAGTCAGCGGAAGAGCCTTGTTGCCAATCAATGTTGGCCTCACCACCAGGGGCTCTTATCTCCAACGCTTACTCACCCTTGAGAAAGTCATTCGGGGAGCTCTTTGTCGCAACGGGGGAGGCATTGGCTCCGCTGTCGTTGGCCTTGAGAGGTTCCTCGAGTGCTAGCGTCCCCTCAGCGGAGCTCATTGTGGATGTTTCTGCTGATGCGGGCACTGTAGGAACAACAGCGGATGGCTTGCTACCACAAAGGACTTAAGTACCACGTCTCCGCTTACGGTCAACGATGGCTGAAGGGAGCCATGCGGGCAGCCAGCTGCCAGAGAGATTTGAGGGTTGTGACCTGTTGCGACCTACACTCTCGGTGACAACACAGATGAAGAAGAAATAGGGTTATGTGCAGAAATCAAATAGGCGACTGCGCCCTGTAGTCTCCATCAGCTCTTTCCCTCGGTTCAGTCTTTTCAACGGTGGTTCCGCACGCCGCAAACGCGATGAAGGTTTGACGATGATGTGCGTTGATGAACGACTTCAAAGGAGAACATGAGGTCGACGGACATCCATGTGGTTCAAGTCTTTGTGTGACACTCGACAAGGGCTTTGCTGACAAGTGTGAAAAAACAAGAACAGCTTCACAATGGCTCGCCTAAGTGGAGAAGAGGGCTCATACCTGTGAGTGTGCCTTCCAGTCCCGATCCCCCCGCAGCTTCCAACGATCAATGGTTCGTACTGATCATCCCTGTCTGTATCCCTGTCCATCCACCTTGGTCTCTCTTCCGGCTCCCACTTGAACAATGACCGATCCCAAACTTATTCCAGCTCGGCCCAGCGCGGTGGCTTCCTTACGTCAGACAAAAAGCCTCGCCAGCCCGAGTCCTTCCTTTCGCGCTTCTGGCGCAACGAGATTGTCGGAGCGGACATGCGAGAAGGAAACCTGTCCATCCTCTGGGGCGTCGCCGTCTTTGCCGGCGGAATCGTCTTTGCACGCACGATCGGCAGCGATGTCCTCGTTCCAGCTCTCTAATGACGGAATGCAGAAGGCGCGAGCGTTGTGGCTGTAGCTCTGAGGCCAAAAAGTGGCTGTCCTCAAAGCCCATTCGGCCTTGTTTAAGGAAATCCCTCAGTCGCTACTCATCAAAGCCAATCAAAGAGTAGAAATCAGGTGTTTCAGATACCGTAGCCTGGATCTCTTCGCAACCCGCCAGCCTCATTTATTATGTTGGCCGGCTGAAAACTCTGCGTCTCACGCTCGACAACAATACGTTCAAAACTCGTGCTCATGGCCCCTTCCTGTATCATAGCTTCCCCACTGCAAGGCCACCACTAATGCACCACAAGCCGTCAGCGCCCCTGCATTGATTTTACAGCATCATACACGCTCCGTTGCCAACTGTGTCGTGCATTCACTAGGAGCTGGGAGCATCTACACGAGCCTGTCCTTCTTGCCACCCTCCGCCTCGGCGAGGAACTGCTTGATGAACGCTTCTTCATCGCTGTAATGACACCAGGCATAAGCACCATCTGAGTCAGCTCGCTGCCGGTGAGTGACACATTGCCTACACCTGCCACTAGCGAGACGGTGCCGATGACCAGACTCCTGTGGGCCAATGGCAAGTTGGCACTGCAATAACGCATCGATGCCACTTTACCCGTTCCCGCTTTCGTCACCCGAAGCTTAAGCCTGAGGCAGTCTCCCCCTTGGTCATCAGAGCAGAGCTGGAGCGCGTTGGATCAACAAGCGCCGTCCCTGATGTCAATGCAGGCTTCCATAGCGAGTGAGGCATGAAGGCAACTTGCCACGACACCCGGTGCGCTTCCTCCCGCCCGACCTTTCCAAGTTTCCAGCAGGTGTCTGATTGTTCTCCCACAATATTACTCACGAGGAGCTGGCATTCAGTGGAGGGATGGCCTTGGCCTTGGCAGCGACGCCGGACGCACCCGATGCGCCGGCCTGTTCCTTGCTACCGCCGGTCATCGAGTAGGCGAGAAAGCCGTAGGTTGCGAAAGTACCCAGTGCGATGTACTCGTTAAGGATCTTCTTGCCTTGTTGCGACACGCACAGAGGAGCGCGGGTTGGTCGGAACAACGATCATGATCGCCAAGGATCACGAAGAACGAAGGATAGTGGAGCGCCGAGACGTGGAGATGACAAAGATGAGATCAACATGGTCATCAGTCTTTGGAGCATCTCTGTTGCTCGCATCATGGCAGGAAAATACACTTGGTGCTTACCTGCGATAGTGTACGACATCTTGGGCGAAAGTTGATGATGCTCGAATACCTTTTCCTATAGCTTGCCTATACAGGATCACGACCCGTCGAATGTAATGTCCATCAAGAAGCTTCATCGCCAGCGTCCAATACACGTCGTGGTGGGCGCAGAGCTGCGGGTCAGGCCGTCGCGAAAGTCGGCCATAGCGTTCAGAAACCGGGTGAAAACGCCAAAAGCCCAGGATACTTTTCCGGGGATCGGGGGAAGCACAAGTCAAGCATGGCTGGTTTCTTCGCGGCGGGGGTGAAAATGCGGCAAACCGCAGACTGGCCGCAGGGCGTGTGTTCGGATCGGCTCGGGCGGGAAGTTGACAAGAGGCTGGATGGAAACCGAGAGCCTCCGAGGGAACAGATCGCTGTGATCGCACTGAGTCGAAGACGAATCTCCCCGTAGAAAGCTCGTTCACTATCAATACACTTGTTAGCCTTGTGGCTTGTGCGCATCTGCTTGCACTCACGAGATTTTCTGGCACTTGTGGGTTCGATATTTTTTTGGTGTGTATTCACAGTTTTTTTGGAAGTCTCATGTTGCTGCATAAGAGAGAAGCTTTCGAAGGCTTCCCACACGTTGAGAGATGTTCTCCACTTTCATCATTTAACCGCCTTTATTGTGCATGTGTCATCCCCAAGATCCGATCTGATGAATGCAAAGCGTTGAGATGAAGTCGAGGTGGCATCTCTGAGCGGATTGAAATGGAAAGCGATTTGTCTGATCTTTGTCACTGTGCAGATTGGACAGACGCTGCTTCTCTGTCCTTCACCACTGTTGCAGTGTAACTGCAATGCCTGCCTCCCGACCGACAATGCTCAAGAGAGTAGCATCTGTCTGGCACACCTTTGGGCTGCGAAAGATTAAAGTCGTTGTGTTGAACTCGCTCTGGCGCCGATTCGTTTCTTGCCTACCCTAGGAACACTAATCCCAAAATTCAGCATGTTTCACTGACTTCAACCCAGCGGTGCAAGTAAGCCGTGGGAAAGTACAGCGTCTCCAGGGTGTCTCGCCGGCGGAGGAACTTTATCATGCTTACCGTCGTAGGGCTTGTCGTACTTTCTGCCAATTGCAGTGAGAATCCAAGTCCGCACCCTGGTCGTTATCGGAAGCGGTTTGTACCCAGACTTGGGCTGTTTGGTCAGCTTAGATTCGGACTCAGAGTTGGGCTCTGACACAAGTCTTCCGGTTCTGTATCTGGCGATTCCAGCTTTCCAGGCTTGTCGTCACCTCAAACACCTGCAAGTCAAAATGACAGCGAGAGCGGCATGCGGCAAAGCGGGTCGTATATTTATTCGTCTTACCATTTCAACAATCAACTCAGCTGGAGCGAAGGCGTCGTCACATTCGGTGCTCTGCGAAGCGTTGCAAATATCACATCATGTCCAGCAATATAACGGGGACGGCTATTGACGCGTTTGGGGCCGCAATACAGACGTGAATGCTTCTTTGCTATCGAATCTCAAGAGCAGCCATTCAACAGAGTACCGACGATCGATGACCCACCTGTTTAAGCGACGCACGGGCTACTCTATTTCTGCGATTAACAATCGGAACCACAAATTTCAGCTCCCAAAACTTGCAATATACCTTTGCAGGCCACCGTCTGGCAACTGCCAGCACCAGCGACATGAGCTCTTTTCTTTCCTCGTCGTTCAATACCAACATCGTATAAACCTGATTGTTCCGCTTCCACAGAGTCGCCCTGCAAGTCAATCCGGATCTCAAGATATTCATTCTCCCCTGAAATCCGCCCGCTTGGATGAAGGAAAACGATTCGGTCAACGGTGACACTTTGCTTGCTGACGCGTCACCGCTCGTAGCCGAGTATCTGGTGTAATCCGTCCAAGGCTTCAAAGCTGCGCTCGGGGTCAAGCCTTGGGCTCTTGTCGGGCACTAAGAGCGTAACAACCCGAAGGCATACCTGTTCATGTCTATAACGAAGGACTACAAAATTCACGTCCTCTAGATCCTACGAGGACGTCTTCCGCAGATGGGGTTGGGCAGCGTCAAATTCCTCGGACACAAGGTCAATTTTATCGGCTGGAGTGACGCCGCATCGCCTGTTAAATACAACTTAAGCATGATTGATGGCATCCCCTGGCACGGTTACAACGGTAGCGTCTCTATTATCCAACGTGAGTCCAGACAATCTATCCTTTCACCATAATGGACATCGCTCCTGACTCATTTCGCTTTGCACCAGTATGTTCGCGCCGCCGGCAAAAAACCAGCGGCTAGCTAATGATGATGGGTGAATCCTCTCGCCAAGATTCGGGACACAACACGCCCACATCGAAGGGCTACATGTGTGGTGGCTTAACAACATCTCATTGCCGCTCATCGAGCGAGACTTTTCTTACCCACCGTGTGGAACCTCGCGCTGAACAGCGACAATGGCCCACATGTTAACTGTGCCTATTGTACAAAGTGCAAGGGCGCACTGATAGTCGATGATACTGTTGTCACCGCCAATGTGCAAATATGCTCTCGCACTCATCCGTTACCGCGTCCGACCCGACACGCTTCGGCGGCGGCTTGGCGGTCTGACTGGCCGCGACTGTCGCTCGGTCCCCGTCCAAATGCATCGATGCTCACGCTTTCGCCACACCGTGGCAAGCATCGGCTTCTAATTTAACGGGCGAACGGCGATACTGGCTGCTCGTGCAGACCACCTGCGACGACACCTCGTTGACTGCCGTGTTGAACTGCAGCGCCGAAAATCTCATCTTCCCCAATGGCATCTCCACGCATGTCTGGACCACCTAGTTTACGGCATTTCTCACATACTCTTCCTTTTTCCAGCTGCGTATAAATGACCCCGCATTCTCCAGACTTGGTGCTAAATTCACGAACACCACTGTATCAACAGTTTGCCATTGCTACGCATTCATAGAGCGCCCGTTTATCGGACATCCTCCAACCTTGCATTGGACATTGCATGCTCTGTACATAAAGCGAATGCATGACCAGACGTGGTCAACTCTACCCCGCAACTGAAAATGCGTGCGACCCCAAGGACTAGGCTTGCATGTCAATACTGGGCCGGTAGCGGCAGACGGGTGGGCCTAGAACAGCGTGGCAGCTTGCAACTTATGAGCAAGGGGAGTAGCAGCTGGGTTCTCGGTGGTTGAGAGCAAGATGACACAATCCCGAAAGCTCTGGAAAGTGTATGATGTAGATGTGGTCAGGAACCTCGTGCTCTTCAACCGCCGTCAACGCTTAGCCCACTCACCTTGGACTGCTTCATCCACGCCGCCTCAACTTGATCGACGAATTTGACTACTCCTGGATGAATGGATGGACTCTCGCCTGGTGACAGCTGCTCAAACGCAGCCTTTTCTTTCTGTAGCTGGTCTCGAAAGTTGGCGCGCAGATCGACAAAGTACTCGACAACAGTAGTCATACGTGTGTGGAACTATGAAGATGGCTTCATGGTAAGAAAGGCTTGTAGAGTCGTCCACTCTTGACAAACGAGACTCACAGTGAGGTACTTAAAGTCGGTAAGCATGGCCTGCTTGCGAGCGACGTTGAGAAAGTCAAAGTGGTCGCGCATGAACTGGTCGACCGTCTTGGCGTTGGCCATCTTGTTCTCCAAATCGTCCCAGCCAGGCTCAATGATCTCATTGGTGATGAAGGCCAAGACCTGCTGCACGACAAACGTCATGCTGTGGCGCAGTTTGAAGATCCGGTTCTTCCATTGCTGCAGAGGCGCATGGCCCTTTGTTACCTGCCGCCAGGATGACTCCTGGTGCTCGCTCCACATCTCCACGAGCTGCCGCTCGAGGATTTTAAGGTGGAGCAAGACACGTTGCAGGAACTGCCAGCGGAGGATGTTCTTCTTGGATATGACGAGCGAGACGGGAAACTTAACCGCGATGTCAAACTGCAGGACATCCATGACTGTTTGAAGCACGTAACACAAAGCGAAGGCAAGTGTTGGTCAGCTCACGTGCAGCTCCACAGTAGCACGGTGGAGAGTCACCTTTGAACTGCTGCACAGCCCTGTCCTTCTTCTCTTGCCGTGCGAGCGCCTTAGCGGCCTCGATGCCACCTTTGGTCTCGGCGATACGCATCAGCTGACTGTACACCTTCTCGTTGTTGCACTCTACGCGGAGGTCCTCCTTGTACGGGTCGTCCGAACCAATGGTTGTCGATGATCCCAGCACCATCCCGAGCTGCTGGCCGAGGCGCATGGGGATCGAGCCGACACGTCCGGGAACGACGAACTTGCGGAGATCGCGGATGCTCTGCTCGTAAAAGGACATGAAGAAGTCGCTGTGCTCCATGACAAAATAGTGCTTGACGGAGCGGAGGCGTTGAATGATGTGTTGCTCGTTGATGAGGAGCTTGAGGAGCGTCGTATTCGCGCGTTCGTAAGCGTGCTCAATGCATTTGAGGAAGCTGCTCAAATGGGACAGGTTAGCTTGCTCGCTCATCCGCCCGCCCGTCTGCCCGCGGGCTGTCAACTGAGCTCACTTTGGGTCGTTGAGCACTAGAGACTCATCCATGCCAGCAGGAACGCTGACCAGCCAATCTCCATGCCCATGCTCGGAGCGTGTGATGTCTATCCCGCATTCACGGATGACGTTGAGGTACTTGCCAGCGAGCAAGATTTTCTGCTTCCAGGGCTCGAGAAAAACGGGCACTTTCGCTCCGCCTGTCAGGATCCCTCTTGCGCTTTCGTCCTCTGCACCACTCCTTCCTCGCCCCACACCGCCGCCGCCGCCCGGCTCTGCGTCGCCGCCTGCGTTCTGGTCCTCTTGGTTTTCCTCATCGTCGTCGTCAAACGCGAGCAGGCCCTGCTGCCGCAGCTGCTCGCGCGCGGCAAGCACCGTCTCATCGCGGAGCGTGTATCTGCGCTCCCAGTACTCGTCCGTCGGGTCCTGCTCGAGGCTGGCCCGCGTGACGCGCGTGTCCTCCATGACGATGAACTCCTCGTACGGGTCCGACAGCTGGCCGGTCGAAATCCAGCGGAGCAGCGTCGCCTTGTAGGGCTGCGAGGCGGCGCGGAAAAGGGAGAGGTAAAGCGCGTGCGCCGATGGATCGCTGCCGGCGCGCGCGGGGGTCAGATTGGCGTTTATCATGCAACTGGCACATAATGCTGAATGAGGCAGAGACTCACCCACTCATCCTCGTCACTCGATCCCACAGCATCGCAAGGATCTCGCCCCCCTTGACGATGCCACCCTCGACTCCCTCGTCGTCCGGGTCGTCCAAGCCGAGCAGCGCGCGGCGCTGACGCTCGAGGCTGGCGTCGCTCCCGGTCCTGCCGCGCCCACTGCCACTGGCGTCACTGTTGTCATCTTCGCCGTCATCGTCATCATCATCGTCGTCATCTTCCTCATCCTGCTCCTCAAAGATGTTCGCGTACGAGATGGCGGCAATGTCGGCCGTGAGCGCGTGGACAAGCGAGAGCGTGCGCAAGGTCGGATGCAAGTAAAACCACAGCTTTTGCAGCGTGAACGAGGCGGAGGTGTTGAACTGGTGTTCGAGTTGTACGAGCAGCATTTCATATTCCTGCCGGAGAAGATATCAGTCACTGTTGTTCGATTGTCCCGGCCTCACCTTGATGTCACACGATTCTGATGAGAAGGACGAAGGCAACGCACCTTGAGCAAATCCTTGATCGCGGCGCAGAGCGCATGCGCGACGGTGCCGAACGCGAGCTCGCCCTGCATCTGCGCAAACGCGTCGATGGCGGCAAAGAGTGTGGCGAGGGGCAGGATACGCTCGGCCATGTCGCGCAGCGACGGGTCAAGGTGCAGGTCGGCGATGGAGAAGCGCGGCCCGCGCAGAGCATGCGCCGGCTTTGAGGGGTGGTAAGATGAAGCGTAGTGGATGTAGTCGCCCTCTATCCCCTGTTTCTCATGCATGCATGCGTCAGTGCAATGGTTCTGGACTCATCAGCCCCGTCGGGGAGGAGGGGAGGGGCACGCACCTGCAGGACAAAGAGCAGATCCTCTAGGATGAAGGCCTCCTGCGTCTCCTTGTCCATGTCCCTCATCGGCAGGACGGGGGTGTCCGCGTCTGCGTCTAGGCCTGCGTCTGCGTCTGTGTCCGCATTGGGGTCGGGATCGGTATCTGCATTCGCCACTTCCTTCGCCTTCGTAACTGAAGGCTGCTTTGCATCATTGGCTGCCCTACTGGCTGTACGTGCAAACAGCGCCTCGTCGTTCTCTCTTTCCTTCCCCTTGCCTTTCGCCCTATGGACAGCCGTGTTGGTCGAAGCAGATGCGCCGGATGTGCCGCGCGCATGGCGGGGCGACGCGGCGGTGGTGCGCCGATTGAGCGGGTTGAGTACGAAGCTCGCTTCGTGCATGAAGCTCTCGTTCCCTGCACCTGCACCCGCCCCTTGTGATCTCCCCCTTGCCATGTTTTGCTGTGCACCTCGGACGTCCCTGGAGGAGACCGCTGCGCCCGAGCGGCTGAGCGCCAGCGCGGCTGCAGGATGCTGTTGCTTTCGCGGGTCGTCCAAGGGCATCGCCGTCGTGCCAGCGACGGAGGAGCCGGTCAGCTTGTTGATCAAGCTGGACTGTGTCGGACGCCTGAGGTAGTGCTCCTCGCGCAGGTCGTAGCGCGCCAGCACTTCCTCCTCCTCGGTCCTTCTGTTGCCCGCACTGCTGCCGGCGCCATTGCCATCAATACCAACACCGCTGCCAGCAGCAGCAGCAACGGCAGCGAGCGCTTGCGCGTGAGCAATCTGTGCGTCGGCTTCCTGGTCGATTGCGCCCTCTTCTCCCTCTTCCGACCGGGCGGACGCTCCACTGGAGACGCGGTTGCGCGTCGAGCGCTCGACGGCGACGAGGTTGCGTTGGATCTGTGTGCGGAGCATCAAGGGGTTGGGGGAAGAAGGGAAGTAAGTCCATTAGGCCTGCGCCTTTTTGTTTTCCCTTCCACATGCCGGTGCTAGCGGTCTCTAACTTGTCGAACGCACCTTGTCGAGCTGCTTGGCGCTCATGGGCCGGAGACTGCGGTTGCGCCTGCTGCCGCTGCTGCTGGCGTACTTGCTGCCTGCTGCGGGCGTCACTGGTGGCAGGGCTGCTGAGCCAGCTGCTCCTGAAATGGGAGCCCGGCCGGAAGATGCTGCCGAACGTGATGTGGCCATGTTGAGCGGTGACCGGTAGCGGTGCTACGTATGGGATGAGGAACGAGAAACCTTGTCCGCGTCCGCCGCCGCACCACCCCGCCCACCTGCGGGATGCCGCTGAGCGTCTCGGTGCTGCTTGAGGGTATCGATGTACAAGGTATGCACATGCACATGCGTTGCGCAGAGTCTCGCCGTGCTCGAGCGTACGGTGTGCGTCCCCCGAACCACGGACGATGCTACATGCATGCTAGCTCTGTGTACATGCGAGATGATGCTGTTGTGGGCATGTGTGTACATTTGTCCATGTATCTCTCTGAAGCGGACGACTGACTACAAGGGCGAGGGAAGGTTCGGGGGGAGTCCCTTTCTGGGCGACGCGACGCGTCACGTCGCTCTTTTCTTTTGTGTGTTCAATAGAGGAAAGAAAAAGAAAGAAACCCCAGGCGAGTAACGAGCGAGCGGGGTGGAAGAAACCGACAGTGCAGAATAGTGGAGAGTCTCTGGGGTTGGGGTCGCTTCATCATCGGGCGGGGCGGCTTGGTTATGCAGCACAGCTGATCGACATAGATGCAGACGCCGCCACCACAGACGGAAGCATCAGCAGCAGTGGCAGTAGCACGGTGGAGAAGGAGTCTCTTGGTGCGGTGGTCTGCCCCCTTTCCTTGCCGCTTCATTCCTGCTTTGTCCTAGACCATGGCTTCCGAGTCGCTCGTCCTCTGCCTCTACGCAGGGGGGACTATCGGCATGATCCGCCACCCCCTGCACGGCTACCAGCCCCACCCGTCCTTTCTGACCGAGACGCTGCGCACCCAGGCCCGCTTCCACGATCCCTTTGCCAACAGCATCTTCAGCTGGAGCGACTCGGTCGACCGCTACCAGCAGTGGAGCGGCGTGCACTCGGCTGGTGGCAGCGCCCGCGCCAGCAGGGCCCCCAGTCCAGACAACTCCAGCGGCAGGCAGCGAGAGGCTCAAGGCAGCGCTGGCGCTGCTCCTGCTCCCGCTTCCGCGCAGCGCCTCCCCGAGCTGCCCCCCACCGCCATTCGCGAAGGGAGAGACAGCGGTACAGACAACGGTGCGCCGCCGCAGGTGTGGCCCCCCTTTGGGTCCTATGTCACCGTGCGCTCGTCTTCAGTCAAGGGGACGTCGACACTGAATGCGCGCGACGTCAAGGTCGTCAACGTCTCTTCCGCCGCCGTCGACTCGCCTAGTAGCGTCAACGAGCTAGGCCAGGGACAGGAACAGGTGCTCGAAATGCGCCTGCCTACGATGATCACGCCCAAAGGCGCGTCCGGCAAGCGCGTGCGCTATGCCGTCTTGGAATATGACCCGGTGAGTTGCATCTTCAGGCCGTCTTGGATGGTGCATGGCGTGCTCATCCAGCCGAACTTGCCTTTCATGTGACAGCTTCTCGACTCATCCGAAATGACATTCTCCGATTGGAAGCGCCTGAGCCGGGACATTGCGCTCAACTACGCACAGTTCGATGCGTTCATCGTTCTGCACGGCACCGACACAATGGCGTACACTGCGAGCGCGCTGTCCATGCTCCTCGAGAACCTCGGCAAGTCAGTCATCGTGACCGGCGCGCAGGTGCCATTGTCCGAGCTGCGCAACGACGCAATCGAGAACATGCTTGGCGCGCTGACGCTGGCCGGTGACTACATCCTGCCCGAGGTGACGCTGTACTTTGCCTCGAAGCTCTACCGCGGCAACCGGACGTCCAAGACATCGAACGACGCACTCGCGGCGTTCGACTCGCCTAACATGCCCCCGCTCGCCAGCGTCGGCATCGACATCCGCGTCCACTGGCAGCTCGTGCAGCGCCCGCGCGAGCTGCGCGCCCTGCGCGCGCACACGCAGCTGTGCGAGAACGTCGCCATACTACGCCTCTTCCCTGGACTGCCGCGCAGCCTCGTCCGCTCCATCCTTGCCGAGCCGACGCAGGGCGTCGTCCTCGAGACCTTCGGCGCAGGGAACGCCGGCTCGTCCCTGCTTGACCTCTTCGCCGAAGCATCGGCGCGCGGTGTCGTCATCGTCAATATCACCCAGTGCCTCCAGGGCACCGTCAGCAACATCTACGCCGCCGGCAAGAAGCTTGAGGATGCGGGCGTCGTCAGCGGAAAGGACATGACGCCAGAGTGCGCACTGATCAAGCTCGCCTACCTTCTCGGCAAGCCAGAGCTCTCGCGCAACGATGTTCGCAACCTTATTGGCCGCTCTCTGCGCGGCGAGATCACCGCGACCGCGCCTGTTGCTTCCCGCAACCACGAGCATGCGGACGCAGCAGCAGCAGCCGCTGCCGCTGCGGATCCAGGAGCACCAGTGGAGGATCAGGGAGCGGAGACAACCCCTCGCATCCAAGAGCTCGTTGCCGACATCCTCTACCAATCATCTTCCCCAGCAGCACCAGGTGCTGCGCACGCGACGAAGACAACCGCGTCCTGGACTATCACCGCACACGAAGTGCAAGCTGCAGACAGGGCCATCTTGCCACGTTGAGTGTTCACCCCGTTGCTTCTGAAACATTCGCAATGCCAAAGTTCACGAGAAGGCTAATGAATAACCCCTGCCCACTGCAGACCTTATTTTGAAAGCTGTGCAAGATGGTAATGCCGAAGCGCTGCGCTACCATCTCCAAAAAGTCGAGAAATTCGAGCGGACCAGCGATGACCTATCGACAGCAATGGCTCTGACAGCAGCCTCAGCAGCCAATACCGCTGGTGCCCGCGGCCGAAACGCCACGCCTGTATCTGATGCAAGGCCTCTTGCATCTGCAGCGGCCACTGCGACGGCGGCAGCTGTGGGCAAGGTCAATCTGATCGATGAACAGCAGGCGCTCCACCATGCAAGTGCGCAGGGAAAGGACGACCTCGTCGCCATGCTGCTCGCAGCGGGCGCTAGCGTTCACTTACGCGACCACTACGGCTTCTCGCCGCTCTTCGCCGCCGTGCGCGCAGGTCACACACACGTTGCGAGCTTGCTCAAAGCGACAGGCGCCCATCTCAAGGCGGACGAGGTGGGTCTACTCGAGCAGCTATTCATCCAGCGGCCCGAGGTGCGGCGCGCTTTGGAAGTGGCAATGTGACGGTATCCACGGGGGAAAAAGGAGGGGAAAAGAAATTCGATATAGCATCGAATAGCATTCGACGATTCAGAGGATCGAGCTATGTACCTACACGCCGCTGCGAAACATCAGCGCTAAGAGGAGCACGACTGCCGCGACCCAGAGCGCGAGAGGGACCTGCCAATGGGGATACATGGCCAAGTGCGAATGCGAGCTTCGCAAGGCCATCGTCCCCGCCGAAGACATGCGTGTTTCGGGGTCGACACGCACAGGTACGAAGGGAATGAAGTCCTCCACTTCGGAGCACACGCGATGCTCGACACCTGCGCCGCTGTGCAGGTCTCCCAGAAGGTTCAATGCGTAGTTCTGCCATTTGCGAGCGAGCGTGTGTGCTTCTGCTTCATGAACGCTGCCAGAAGCAGCAGACGCAGCAACGACACGGCGAGTGGGGAGGGGCGGCGCAGGCGATCTTTCGGCGCTGATCGCGGGTCGCAACGGTGCGATGATGTCCATCCATGCTTGGCTTAGATCATAAGGGTCAATCGACGGCCTCGAGCTCGCAGCCTGCCCGTGCTGGGGCCAAGGCAAGTGCCACGGCCAGGTCCAGCGACGCCATCTTGTTAGAAGAGACACATCGTCGCTGCTGATGGTGAGGAAAGGCGAAGAGGGATGCACGGCTCCTGCGAGGGGTGAACGCTCCTCTTCCTCGGCTGTCCCTACTGGACCGGACGGAGGCGCTGATGCAGAGGCGGAAGGATGCACCTCGGTCACCCCACCAATGGCCCACGACTGGATCTGCAGGCTTCTGCGAACAAAATGAATATCCATGTCCCTGCATTGAGCGAGCTTTTCCGGATGGATGTCCGTAGCCGCACCAACGTGTTCAGCTTGTGCTCTCCTATTATCGCCTGCTTCCCTACCTGATGATGATGTCGATGATGCCCGCTGTTCAGACGCGGCAACCGCTGCGAGCAGCATGCGTGCGCGCCACCGTGCGTGAGTAAGGAGCACAACTTCGATCGGTCGCAACGCACGCTTGAATCCAGGTATGACGTCAGCTCCGTCTGATCTGGCGCTACCGCAGGAAGGAGCAGATGCGCCCACACTGGTGCCAGAGATCTCGCTCCGCAGCCGTCTTTCTGCCATGCCCCGCTCCTTGTCCTTCCAGAAGAGACCACCCTCGCCCCAGTCGTACCCGAGCCAGCTGGCCCACTGTCGCGCCAGGCCTGGCGGGAGGATGTACTCGCTGATGCCAAACCACTCCTTAGTGCGTGCGTACGTGGGCGACTCGAGCAGGTTAAAGAGCATGGCGTCCGGATTGAGGTGCGCCGTAGCATAGAAGTTTCGCGCAACGTTGCCACCGCTGGCGCCTGACGAGGCGGAATCAAGTGTGGTGCCGAAGCCGAAGCGCGTACTGCTCATAAGGCCGCTAGCGCTGTGGCCTCTTGCGTCTCCTCCACTGCCGCTGGACGGAAAACAGAAGGCGCTGAAGATGACGGTACGATAGCTGACATGCGCGATATCGTCTGGCCGGAAATGGCGGCGGTAGCGCGACAGAAGGAATTGCCATGCGATTGTGTAGAAGCTCTGCCACGTCCGGTCAAGGCAGGGACACGGGGTGTAGCAGCTGCGAGGATTGTGTTCCTGCTTTTGCCGTCGCAGATGGTCGTGAGCGCGCAGAGGGTCGCAGCGGCGCAGAGCTCTGCGCAGCACGTGAAATTCGCGAGAGAGCTGCGTGTCGATCTGCTCTTCTGACAAGGCACCCTCATCAACATCGCTTGTACCCGCCGCGCCGGATGTTGCAGCTGATCCCCAATGACCGGTGTTCGGCGCGAGTTCAGTCAAGGGTGCGTCCGTGAATGCAGCTGGCTGTGCCTGCGCGGAATGAGCAACGTTGACCTTGCGTTTCCACGGTCTGCGGCTGAGTGCGCGTAGTGTCGCAAGGCACATTGCGAGGGAGAAATGAATCGCATTGCACGGGTCGTCTTGTAGCGCCCCTGTCATTTCGTCATCGCCCTCTTGTTCAGGGTCATGGTCCTCACCGTCGGTGAAGGCTTGCATGGCCAAGCTAGCAAACAAATCTGCAATATCTACGAGCGCCGAATCATCCAGCATGGACGTAGCGCTGAAAATGTCCCACATCTTGGACGGCCGGCCGCACTTGATGTTGCCGCCTGGGGAGAGTGGTGAGTGTTCGAAACGAAGAGAGCGCCGCCATGATGATATGTCGGTGACCGGTTCGGCATGGCGCGTCAGGCGCCGCGGTAGGCGATTCTTGAGCACGGACGTGTGAGGATGAAGTCTCGCAGCTCGATCAATCGCTTCGATGATCCATTCTCCGTCTGCATATGTATCTCGGTTTGGTTCGGATTCAGCTTGAGCCCGTACATGATCCGACCGCCATCCACGGCTGTTGCTGCTGCGCAAATGAAGGTGCCGAGGGGCCGAGATGGCAAGCCGGAGATTATGCAGGTCGGCGAGGCCTAGGACGGAGCATGAGAAGATGCAGACGAGCAGCTCGCTAGGTAGCGACTCCATGATCCCAATCAGCCCACCGCCCTAGCAGGTGATTGGCGAAAGCCGTGCATGTGTTGCACCGTGCAGGTCATTGAATCCACAGCTGAGCCGTGCTGACTTGAGATCTCCGTGCTACAAAGACTGCTTATTATCCTCGTGTCCATCCACTTGAACTACACATCGAGCATACTTTGCATATATGGATGTCATACGACTGGCAACTGCAGCCCGCTGTCCTCGCCAATGTGAATGGCGAGCTTGGTCTCCACAATAAAGGCTGAGTGGATATGAACTCTTGTATGTTTGGGAGGTGTTGGCCTTTGTTTCGTTCCCCCCTTTCAAACTTGTAGGGTTGTGCATCTTGCCTGTGGATTGGGCGAAACCGCGGGATTGCCAGTGTCCTCCCACTCTTGGACAGACTCATCCATACTTGGAACGCGCCCAGGACTAATGCCTCCCGTAACCTGTCCGATGCGAGTCGTCCCTATCCGCTCGAGGCACCTGTGCTCACATTGAAGAGTCGGATAGAAGCGACCGAGACTGCGGCGTGAATCGTCGAACCAGACTGGCCCAGCCGGAAGCGACCTTTGCGACGATCGAGACGCCCGCCAACGCATATCTATCCGCTTGGGCTGGGTGCCCTGATCCGAATAGTCTTGAGTCTTGAGGAGCAGGGCGGGAAACGGCGTGGGGACAGGGGTATACGGAAAGGGCCGACTTGATCTATGCCAAAGGATGCAAGCGGACACGCCATCAGACGCCAATGCGTCGTCGGAGAGCGGCTCAACCTCTGCCGCCCCCAATGACTTGCAGGCTCGACCTTCGGCCGCAGGTCGTCGAGGGCATCACCGAAAGCACTCGTCCATCTCAGTGAAAGTACAGAAGCGTGGCAGTGCCATTTTGGCACGACCGCCAGGAAAGGAGGATCCGCCAGACAATGTACTGTCTACTACGCCTGCTTCTACGAGCACACTACAGGCACCAGATAGGCCGGGAGTCGCCGATGGCGAAGCTGCTACTGAGGATAGGACGCCGGCAACTGCAGATGATTCGAGCCTTGCAATCGTGCCGGAACTACAACCGTCTCCGGACTCGGACAGCTCATCCGTCAATGAAGTAGAGGGGATCAAACTTCGTGAAGACAACCTTACAACATTCCGGGACCGAGCGCTAAGCGCAAATGTGGCAGTGGACGAGGACGGAGGAGCTGAGGAGGCAAAGGAGATGCAAGGCAGCCCACAATTACGAGGACAAGGGGCTTTGGAAAAGCTTCATGTCCAGATGGCGCAAGCAAATCAGGAAGATGCGGCAACTGATGCGATCGAGGAGGCGGAAGACACTGCACCAGCTCTTCCGGCGAAAGACGTGCTGCACACTTCGCCTCGGCCCCAAGCAGTCATTGGAGATGCCTTCAACTCGCCGCCTCGAGATCGCACCATGTTGCCAACAACAGGGTCGCTGCTCAGCGGATCACCACGTTCTGGAACGCATGCGCAATGGGCAACACGGAGAGATGCGATGCGCACCAGTCTTCTTTCCGACCTCGGCACGAAATTCAATCGGAGGCCTTCCGCAAGCTCCGTAGGCGGTGTACACGGTTCGCCGCGTGCATCTGCTTCAGAACAAGAGGCCGCTATGGCCAGCGTGTCAGGCAGCAAGACAATCCCGCTGCGGAGAGGCAAGCGCATGTCGATCGGGTACATTTCCAGCGGGACCAGTTCACCAGCTATGGGATCCGTGGGCGGGCGCTTTGCGAGCTTTCAAAGTCCAGCAGGGGCAGGAGCTGAGATGTCAGGGCTAGACACCCCCGGCTCGGTAACACCAGAGACGAACGGCTACGCAGCCGATGCTTCCGCCTCGAGCGACGTTTCGTACTTCAACTATGGAGCTCCAGGTGCACGAAGAATTCGTCATTCGCCCTCGATCTCTTCCGCTTCCAGCGCGACCTCGCCTTCGCGTTTCCCACACGGATTGATGTCAAGCATCGGGTCCGCGTCCCATTCTGGCGGAGCAGGCACGGGCGCATTGACGCCGACGCTCGAGAATGGGCTACCGGCGTCTGTACTTACTACGCGCATGTCATTGCTGGATTCGCCAACGCGTGGTGGTGCAGGCAAACCGTCGATTGGGCTGGGAGGCACGGGTCCGAGGGAGGAAGTGGAGGCCGCCATGGCCAGGAGCAAAAACTTGCTGAGCGCTATTGCCGCCAAAGAGCAGCGATGCTTAGACTTAAAAGAGGGTTAGTGTCATACGCCACTGGCATGCGAACTAACAGGGGCTCGCGCTGACCTGAGCTTCTGGGCGATCAACAGAGCTCGGCCGGGAAGAAGCAGAGCTGAAGGCGCTGCGTGACGCATGGCAAAGGTCTGTCGCGAACACGATCGCGACGGAAGGCTTGATCGATCAGCCGCTGCAGAAGGCTGCAGGTCGTACCTCTTTCGCTGCAATGCCCCTCCACGCTTGTCACGCCAACAGCGGCACCGGCGCGGGAATATCTATCTCATCCCTTTCGTCCGTCACGAGTGGCAACACAAGCGTCGCATCGGAAACGTCTGAGCTCGCTGCTATGCAGGCAGCAGCGGCAGAGACGATTAAAGGGTGGAGCGGGAAGATTAGCAACTTCTTCGAGGTCGCTCTCGCGGCGCCTACGCCGGATCCTCGGTTCTCCACGTCCACTGGGATCGATGTTTCTGAAGCAGCAATATCAGTGTCGTCAGCCGCAACAGATGAAGGACCTGTGCCTGATTTGCCAATGAAGGACTCCCGAACTGGCCTCGAGAGTCTTTCCGAGGCAGAAGAAGACGAAGCTTCGATGGCCATTGGGGGCAAGAAAGCGGCGGACACAAAGTCATTGCCGAAGCTTCCCGCAAAGGATACGAGCACCCGCTCGCTTTTGCAAGGCGTTGGCGGATCGGTACCGCGGACGGCGAGCTTGAGTTCTAGCCGTTCGGCGCAGTCAAAGCGCACCTCAGTGTTCGGCGCCTTTCCAGGCTTCAATGTCGTGTCATTCGGCAGTGTTGCAATGGGAGAAGCGGGAGGAAACGCAGGCGATGGCGGTGCAAATGCCGCTGGTGGCTGGGGGACCTGGTCTCAGCGCCTCAAGGAGGCGCGAGAAGGAGCTTCGACGTTGTTGGCGAAAGCGGAGAAGGGATTGGAGAGCATTGTGACGATTGACGAAGGGGGCATGGCGGAGCGCGAGCGACCGCGGATAGAAGGTGGGATCGTGCTGGACGACAGCGCCCACGACGGTTCAATGCCGCGGCGCATCCACCTAGACGAGGCCAACGAGAGGGAGCGGACCGCGCTGCGGGGTCTGGGAACGGACTGGTTCCGATCCAAGGCGAGCAGTCCGACATTTGCCGCATCGCCACCACCACCACCAGACTCGGCGAGGCTTTCACCGTCACCGGGGCTGGGATCAAAGGACGAGAAGCGGCTCAGCACCAGCTCGAATGGTACCATCAAGTCGGGTGGATCGGCTTCGTCGCTCTCACGGTCCACATCCACGGCCATTGCCACTAACGGGAAGCCCAGCACCGGGGCCGATAGTAGCTGGCAGTGGTGACCATATTCGCCTCGATAGCAAGGGAGACTCGTGAGACATGTGTAGCATAATTATTGTCTTTGGTGGTTATCCATGACGTATCGAACGTCTAGAGTTCATTCTCGAGAATTACTTTGCGATAATAGACCCTGTCTAGTTCGGGCTTGCCGAAGCAGCCTTGGGTGCGATAAATCTCACTATAACCGAGCATCTCATAGAATCCTGGCGCCTGCCAGCTGCCTGTGTCGACGAGTATTTTGTCGCAGCCCCTTTGACTTTGCGAACGTCTCTGCTTTGAGCATGAGAGCCCTGCCGATACCGGTTCCCGCGAAGGGACGGGTCGCACCATAGAAGGTTGATATAAAGGTGTTTCCTGAGAGTATGACCTGACAGGCCGGCGATGATCACCTTCTTATCGCCGCTGCTGCTTTTCCCATCGCCCGTGCCTGCTGGAGAGAGGGGTTTGGCCAACCTCAGACGCATTCGCATTGCTGTCGTGTACAGCCTCAGATGCGTAAAGAGTGATGTACACCGTCTTCCATTCCCCATCCAAGCCAGGTCTAGGATTTTTGAATCGAAGATTCGGAGAGCGTGGTGCACATCATGTAGGTAGGTAAGCTACAGACTCATTGAATTCAGAACGGAGGAAAACAGCATGCTGGGCAGCGATTCCCACATAGTCGCGGGAAGATGATCAGTGAGGCCTGCCAGTAGCGCTTGATCGAAGCCGGCCGTGGGGCTGGTCGTACAAACCTCGAGATCGGTACATGAGGCGTTCATCTTGCGAAGTTGCTCGATATTTAATGTCGACGAGACGTGCGCTTGGGGCTTAGGGCCAGAAGTCAAGGTGGCATAGCGCAACGAAGATGAAGATCCTCTACATATGCGAATGTCTGTTTGTATGTTTGTATGCCATGTATGTATGTCTAGGTGCACCAATTTTGGTGGCAATTTATGGCTATCGAATCGGCAGCAATTGCAATAGCAAAAGCGACGATGATCATCTGCATTGGAATTCCATCGCCAACGCGTACGCCACAATTCTGCACCTCAAAACACATATGTGTATCATCATCATTCGCCATTCACCGTTCTTCGCGCCTCGTCCTTCTACGGGAGCGACTGTTTCTATCGCCCTGCAAGTCTCGAAACACTGCACGGTCGAGCGGATGACATTCTAAACATGCCTGGTGAGTTCTAGCTACAGCACCACGCTAGGATGGTCCTCGCGGTCAAGCCAGGAGGCAAGGTGGTGTTGCAAGCGACGAGCGATGCTTCGTGGGAGCTTAGAGAAAACCCTGGAAGATCTGCTCCGCGGCGATGACAACCGTGGTGCTGTTTCCTGTGCTGGCCCCTGCAGAGGTACTGTTCGCGGAGATGGAGCCGTTCCTAGCACTCCAATTCACGCTGACTCAAACTTTTTGCCTTTCGGCGGCAGCGCAGTGAAGTCTGGCCCTCCGACTGCAAGGCCTTCGATGAGCCAGATGCGCTCCTGCGCACTGACGGCGATCCGGCCGTGCCCTGCAAAGGCGAGGTCGACCGCACCGTCATTGGGAAGGAACATCTTCATGATGCTCAGCCCTTGCGGACTCCACACCTCGATGCCGTCCTGCGTGCCGCAGTAGACATTGCCGTTCGTGTCTACCGTGATGCCGTCGCAGAAGCCTGTTTCCGGCCACGCAAAGAGTCGGCGGTTGACAAGCGAGTGCGCGGTGATGTGCTCCGTTGAGGAGCCAGGGACGCTTTCGGATGTGACGTCGAACGCAATGATGGAAGCTCTGTTGCTGGCTTTCGGGTTTGGAGGGAATCCCACAGGGCTGGTGTCAGTGATGTATACCGTCTTGCCGTCCGGAGAGATAACGAGTCCGTTAGGCACGGTGACCGTGTCGTCGAGAGCTTTAAGGTTGCCGCTCAACGGGTCATAGGCCCACGTCATCAGTGGCATGGAGAGGTTTGGCCGCTGTAGGCACATGCGAGCCAGAAAAATGTCAGAAGAGTCGAACCTGGTTCGTTTAAACCTCTACTGGAGATCGCTACTCACGAATCCTTGTACAGCGCCGTATAGAGCGTCAGTGAAGAAGATCTGGCCGCTGATCGGGTGGACGCCGACATCGTTGGGCGAGTTAAACTGGCGCCCGTAGGCATTGTTGAGGAGGATCGTCGGGTTGGTCGAGTTGGCGCGTGGCACGAGTGCTAACCCACCGGGCAGCGTGTCTCCTCGACCGGAGGTGGCGAGCAAGACGTGGTCCGAGCCGTACGGCATACCGCCATTGATCATCTGTACGCTGTCCGAGTCAATCTTGACCTCCTCGACGTCCTGCGCAAACGACGTTGGCTGGCCGCTCGCCGCGCGTGCCGCGACGTCGGTTATATTGCGGATCTGGAACTCGACGTTGTTGGTCGAAGCGTTGGAGCGGCCAAGCCGGCCGCCTGCATCGGAGCAAAAGTAGAGAGAATCTGTGTTGGGGAAGTAGGTGACGGCCTCGTGCGCGAAGGCGTAGCCGGGCTCATAGACGAGCTGCACCATGCGCGCATCTGGTGTCAGAATCGTGCGTGCCAGCTTGGCATTGCGGATCTGGAAGTGCGGCGTGGCGGCCAGGGCGTCGTGCTGATTCCTGGACGCTCCGACGCTCACGTTGGCGATCGAGGCGGGTACGTAAGGCACGAAGATGTCGCGCCCTGTGAATGGGACAGGCAGTGAGGCCTCTCGGGCGAGGTCGACATACAGCACAGGCGCAGGACCGACTGCATTGCTGGCGACGGTGCTGGTTGTGGCGGCGGCGAGCAGGCCCACAGTGAAGACGAAACGCTTTGCCATTGTGCGAAGAACTGAGAGCAGCTCGGCGGAAACGAAGTTTTTGCAGGTAGGCAATAAGAAATGCTTCAGAAATGGGCGACAGGATGGAAGTAGCGGTTCCTTTTAAATAATTTTCTGCAGCCGAATGTGAGTGGCGAACCTCCACCCTTCTATAGGAAGGAGCGAAGATCGTCGCCTTCGCTTCCCCACGTGCATCAGCCGACGTGGGGTAACGGGTAGCCGGTCCATGGTCAAACATTACGTAATGGGCCGATCGCGCGTGAAGCCGGCTCCGCCCCACAGCCAATCGGAATCATTTGATTCTTTTTTGAACAGAAAAAGGTGAAAAGAACCCCTTTCTGACCCCCTAGTCTCGATGAGGTGCCACTTCTCCAAGGGCACGAAGGGCTCAAGGTGGGTTGCTTTCTACTTGGAACTGTGCTCGTCCCAGCGTCGATCATACACTCCCTGCGACAGCTTGATGACGCCAAAAGACAAAGGCTGACTGGTCATCGTCATTGTCATGCGCCCAGCATAGGTTGCGAGGTGGACACTGCCCGTGACAGATGGACCAGTGCTTTCGATTACCATCTCCTGTCGGCTGTACATTAGGCAGGGACACGGCTCATCGTTTGCCGTAGGCACGTTGCCCTTTCCACACTCCAGCCTAGAGCGGCCAACAGCCGAGTCGAGTACAGGCGCTGTCTACAACCGGACGTCAGCCATGCCACGCTTTCCGACAAGAAGGCATCGTGATTGTTGCACTTGCGCCTCCCAGCAGTGAACACCCAGGCAGCATATGTCTGTCACTCTGTTTGAGCAGCCAATGGGTTGCATTTGAACGCACCCCACCCTTCAACATGCTGCCCCCCTCTTCGTCAACACCCCCAGCAGAGGGTGGAGAAGGCGGCGCAGCACCTGGCTCGATTCTCAAGGTCCCGCCATTCGCTGCTCAAGCACGATCACGAGGGCGAGCAGAAGTACACAATCCACTTGCATCGCTCGAGAAAAGCTTCTCCTGGACTGGCCTGCCTTTCGTCGGCTCCCCAATCTCCGCTGATGACGAAGACGTGGACGCACAGCGGCAGGAAGGGCGAGAGGGAGCTGGTGACTCGATGTATCATTCCAGGAACAATGGCCGGGCAGCGCAAGCGACGCCGCCAAGCTCGAGACCACCCTCCTGCCGTCCTTCCACCTCGCAGGACATTCTCCCAGGCCCATCGCACACGGCCTCAACGCGCCATCCCCAACCGCCAATGCGCACGTCTTCCTCATGTAACGGCAGCTTGAGCAGATCCGTCATCACCACGCCCGTCGTCAACATTGACACGCTCGACCTCGCCGCACCCATCGTCCCACCGCCGCGGCCCCTGTCTGCGCCGAGCTCTGCGCGCCTTTCTTCCTCTTCGGCGTCCTCGGTCCGTGGTGTCCTTGTCGCTGGATCTGTTAGCAGCAACGCCACTAGCCGAGGGCCGTCGCCACGCCTGGGCGCCTCACCGCGTATCATACCAGGTTCCACCGCCATGGCCCCCGCCTCGTCCAATGCCACGTCCCATTCGGGCAGTTTGGCTGGCACGGGCTCTCTGCTGGAGCTCTCGCCGTTCGGGAACGACTTGAGCATGAGCACTTTTGCTTCTGCTTCAGGCTCGACGTCGCAGCAGAGCACGCCGATACCTGCAGGAGGAGCGGCAGCAGCAGGCAGCGGCGGAAGAAATAGCCCTTTCACCAGCTCCGGAGGGTTCAGGTTGGGCACCGCCGGCACCTTTGCGGCGGCCAATCCTGCACGTGACCATGGGCACCTCCCACCCTGGTCGCCAGGGAACGTGCCTACGGTCTCTTTAGCCGCGGCAGATGGAGCAGCAGCGATAGACTACCATCCCAACAACAGCTATCAAGGCCATGCGCGCGTTCCACCGCTGCCGGCATTGCGCCGCGGCTCGCACCTGCGCGACACAACCGAGCACGACGAGCCGTTGTCCGAGAGCGAGCATGACCCTGCCACTGGCGCAGTTCCTGGCGCAGGAGGCGCAGAATGGATCGGAAAAGTGCAGGATGTGCGCGACGTCGACTTCACGCGCGAAGCGGGTCTTGGACACGAATGGGGTCTGCATGACCGTATGCACGATGAACCTTCGATGGGCGTCTCGGGCTCGCAGCAGCAGTCGCGCGACAGCCGGTATCGAGTGATCAGCTTCCCCCCGTCTGGTGCTCGCGCAGAAGCCGAAGCCGCCGCCGCCGGCAGCAGCAGCGGGCCCTTTTCTCCGCTCTCGCTGTCTCCGGATATGGAATATATGTACCTCCTGCCGCGACGCGGCGCGGCGGAGGACTGCAGCGCGGCTCTCACGCGCCTGGACAAGATACGCAAGGCGAATGACGCCAAGCGAATCCTCAGAGTCAAGAGCCTGATCAAGCATCGACTTAAGAAGAAGAATGGTCATGCGGAGAAGGGTAAGTGCGCGTCGTTGAGGAATTTAAAAGGAAGAAGACAGCCGGTCGGCGGCGATGAAGATAGCGTATGCTTGGAATTAGGCTGTATGCGCGACGTAGCCCAGCCAGATATGGATACTGATGATTACTGTTTCCTTGCACCGCATCCACGCTTGAGTGGTGGTAGACTCAGACTCAGCCTCCGAGTTGATCGACTTTGGCAAAGCGTACGAAGGAGTCAAACTGAAGATCGCCGCGCTACCCGGTGTCAACATCCTGGGCCAAGGCGCAGCCAAGGCCGCGTCCACTACGCCGGGTGCAGCTGCTAGCCCGTTACCCTCGCGCAGTGGCACCCCCGTCTGTAAAAATGCGCACGCAGTCAATGGCTCGACGATTGGGACTGCCAAGGCTGAGGAGCGGGAGAACGGGAGCAGCGTGCACAGGCACGACCGCAAACGCCACGATCGCAAGGCAACAAGCAGAGGTGCAGGAATGCCCCCTAAGCGCTCTGGGACAGACAGCACAGTTATCGCGCCTATTTCCGCTTCGAGCGCCACAGCTGCTGCCTCCGTCGCTCAGCCCATCCTACCTACCGCCGTGACCGCAACCGCCTCAGCTGCTATGCCCTTTGCAGCCCCGTCCTCCAGCAGTCCACATCATGCGTTCGAGCCCTTTCTAAACGCTTTGCTGCCTCCCGCAAGGCGCGGGTCGGCAGCAGCCGTCTCCGCCACCCGACCGCTGCAGATGACGCAGCTGCGAGCAGAGTTCAAGAGTCGTAGCTCCGAGAGCGATACGAGCTCGAGCGAAGAAGAAAAAGGGAGGACTGCGGCGAATCGATGGGCGGTACGATCGGGCGACTCGGCTGGTTCGGCCTCGGAAGACGAAATCTCGTCCGAGGTTGATGTCAAACAGATCAGCCTCCAGCATGGGCGTGGTTCGACGAAGCGCAAGCAGAAGCGTAGGCTCCCACAACTGCTCGGAGATCATTCGTATCGCAGAGGGGAAGCGTTGGGCGACACAGAAAGCGAAGCGGACGAAGCTATGACAATGGCAGCTTCGGCCGACGAAGCGGCGATGGCTGCTGGTGAGCTATCGCGACCATCATCCTCAGTAGGACATGGACATCTCCGCACAAGCTCTGTTGGACTCCACGTCTCAAGAGGCTTGCATTACGCTACGGCGCAGAGCAGGAACAGACGCGCAATGGAGCGGTATTCGCCCGCGCCTTGCAAACTGCTCAACGGCTCTGCCGCCCTGGACAATGCCTCTTATGAAGAGATAGGAAACATCGTCCTGCGAAGCAACACACGCTCGCCCGCTCCTAGCAAAGCGCCAGGGCTTATGTTCACACAGGGCCACCCGGTCGCAACCGCCACGCCTGGAAGCTCCAACAGCTCACGCACGGATCTGAATGCTATCGGCTCTGTGATGCAGGGCGCAGGCTCCGGTATCGTGCGTGGGCAATCGCCGAGCATGTTTTCGGAAGGCGGCCTCGAGCTTGAGCGCCAGCAGACGAACGCAAGCTCGCGCTATGAAAACTTCCTGCAGAGGTGGAATACGAACAACACGCTCACATCGCAGACCTCCATCGGACGCTCCAGCACGCTGCGCAATGTGCTCAGAAACCCCGCTCGCTTCTTGAGCCGTGGCAAGAAGCGCGACACGGACGCAGCGAGCGTAGTCAGCACGCCGCAGGCGGAGGACCACGACAAGGCGCTGGACAATCTGATCGGCAAGGCGTTGCAGCAAGCTCCGCCGGAGGACTTGGGTGAGAAGATGGAGTATGACATTTTGTACGAGAACCAAAGAGGGTGAGTTGCATGTTCCATGTGGTAGCATGATCGTGGCTCGGGCCTGATTGGTATTGCTTTGCAGCCTCCTTTTCTTTGGCGTGCCACGATTCTCATCAAGAGTCCTCTTCATTGGCGACCCGTCTCCGTGGACGTCTGGCACGACCGGCCGCAATGTTGCCTACACGGTCGCGAACGCGCAGCTGCCAGATCCGTCATGGGAATGGGTGCATTCCGAATGGATGATCGACATGTCAGGCGACACGGACGAAGCGGGGTGGCAGTACAGCCGCGACTTTGGGCACAAGTACTATCGCGCGCTGCACATGCTGCCCAATATTGGCTTTGTCAAGCTCAAAGGCAAAGAGCGCGCCTTGGGTCATATGGAGAGAAAGGCGGCGCGCGCCGAGAAAAGAAAGCAGAAGGAAGAGACAAGAGAAGACGATGGCCTTGAGGCGCTGAAGAGAACTGCCCTGGCGCGTAGCGCAAAGTGGCAAGGATCATCAGACCCGTGGATGTTCGTTCGCAGAAGACGATGGATCAGGTTGCGGCGGAGAAAAGCTTTGCTGGCGAAACATCATACCAAAGCCATCACCACCCCAAGTGCTGAGGAGCCGACAAAGTCGCATGCATTGGAGGCCGCCACGCCAGATGACGTCAAAAAAACAGTCCGCCATCCGCTTGAAAACTCTGAATTGATGGAGAGCGATACTGAATCAGACGATCTGGGAATGGACAGCTCCACTACCTCGGAGGATGATGAAGTCTTTTGGGCTCCAGCAATGGGCCACGGTAGCGGTTTCTTACCCAGGAGGCGTCCTGGAAACGTGCACGACGGGGACCCCAACTTATTTAAGGAGTCTGAGTACCTCCGAAAACGCTTAAGGCACGCTAAAGAATTTACTGGAACTGTCAGGGAGCTGAAGAGCTTGATCCCCGCGATCGTCGACCCGAAGAAGGCCAAGTCCCTGAGGAAAGGCGATCTACCTGCAGTGCAGGAGGAGATTGACGCGCGCAATCCCTTCATCAGCTGGAAGCTTGTCAAGCGCCGGCTTGCGGATGACGATCTTGCCTTCGCCGGCGCCAGTCTTCGAACCAGAGAGCGTCGCTTCCAACATAAACAGACGCGGAAAACGGCCTCTAAGGGCCAGGCTCTTCATCCCGGACTACCCGAAAGTCTCACTTCCGGGAATCCCGTCCAGGCGCTAGAGGCTGCGGTTGAGGACGGCGATGACACTGTTATCGTACATGAGCGTTCTGTTCAGCCGCAGGCTTTGGATGAGACCTCTTGGACACGGGACGCGCTTGTCGAGATCAATTTTAGACGCGTAGTGCGCGTGCTGAAGGCATGCAAGGTAGACCGGCAGAAGGTGGAGCTTTGGCGATTGTGGCTTGGTGCGGATTCATACAGTCACGCTGTGGAAGAACCTCTACTGGAGGACCTAAAGATCTTGGGGCTTGCCGGCCAAACGGCTTCAAGCGTCAATGATAAGATCTTCTTGGACAAGCGCATGCGTGCGCTCCGCAAGTGGCAGGCGATGCAGATTCTGCCGGACCCTACCGATGTGTGGGACGTCCTTGAGCGTCGCCTTGATCAAGTCATGTTGCTGTTCGAGTACCAAGGGAGCCGCGCGACGCTTGTGCGACTGTTGCTCTCACAGCATGCCATCACCCACCCCGGTCACGTCTTTTGCGGTCGAGCCGGCAACCTGGACGTACCTTCGGAGCTGTTAGCAATGCACCAACACGGCACACCATCTGAGCTAGGTATCGACCGTCCTCACAGCATCGATGCTCAGCCGTGGAGGGAGGCCGCGCTTCCACGTCTGCAATTCTGGAGTGACCTGTACAGCTGCTCTGGCGACATTAAAGATCGTGCCGACATGACTTCTACGGCGCAGTCCTACATCACCAATACCCTTGTTAGGCCCAAGTCCACAGCTCCTGAACCGCTTCTTGGTCACCAGGGCCTTGCCAGCGTGTATGTACAACTTTCCTCCTTTGTATGGGGACCACATCACTGACATCCTGCCTCACTTTCGGGTGTCCCTACAGGTCCAACAGCCCCTCGAATGAGGCAGAGGCTGTCACACGCCCGTTCAGCGCGCCGCCGTTTCAGCTTCGACAACATTTACATGCGACCAGCATCAACAGCAAGCAATGATACCCAACAAGCATGAAATCTAGTTCTATAATAACAGCACCGTTTTAATAGTATACGTCATCGGCCTTGGTTAGGTCCTATCGAAAGGGCGCTGGAAGGAGTGTGCCAAAACCGAACGCTATCGCGCCACGGTCTGCGATGCCGGCTTGAAGCGGTTGGAATCCGTCTTGGCCACGTCCGTAAGCGACGTGAGACTGAAGTGATGCTCGAAGGAAAAGACTTTTGCTTGGTGCTCGCTCAAAGGCGGAATGGCGGGCGAGCTGACACCCATGCGTGCTGCAATTAAGCGGCCAATCATGGGAAGGAACTGTGTGCGTCAAAGGATTTCGTGTCAGCAGTAAAGGTCACATGGATCACGAGCATCCGGGCATAAGATCACAATGAACACACCTTGAATCCGTGACCCGAATCGCCGCTCGCGACAATCAGCCCGTCCGTTCCGGGTACGTGATCGATCAGCCAATTCTCGTCGGCCGTATCACTGTAATGGCACACGCGCGTCTTGACGATCTTTGTGCTGGTGCTTTTGTCCTTGCTCTGAGTGACGATCGCATCCCTCGCGTACGCCGCGACCTCGGGATAGACTTCTGCTAGCTCATCCAGCATCTCGGTCAGCTTGGTGGCAGGAATATATTCTTCCGCGACAGCGTCCAGACCAGCGGCTGCCAAGTTCGACGGGGCGGCGTTGCCGTTCATTCGGAGGTCTGGGTGAGACTGTGATGGCTGCTCGCCCGCAGTGAAGGCTGGTTGCAGGATTGGTGCTGACGTGTTTGAGACAGTATTGTTGGCGGGACGAGGATGTTGGTAACCGATGCTGTGGATGGCGGCTTTCATAATGCCTTCGTGATTTGGTTCAAAGACGTAAAAGCCGCTTTGAAAGGTTAGGCTAGTTAGCGCTGCTCGTCGGCTTGAGGACAAAGGGGGAAGAGTGCGAGAAAGCTCACGTGTTGAAGTTAAGCAGGACAGGGCATCCCTTGTACTTCCCCGCAATCTCTTTTGGCAGCTGGATGGTGATGACACACTGTGCAGATGGTGCCATCGGCCACTTTGAGATTGATGACGCTTCGCTTCGATCCGGGAGCAAGCCTTCGAGCAAATCCCGCGTCCAGCTTCCCGTGCACAGCACTACCGTGCTCTGACCGTCGTTGATCTCAGCGTCGTTCAGCACGAAACGATCGCCTTTGGTAGTCTGGACCCCAATCACCCGCGTTCTCGTAGAGAGAGAAGAGGAAGTGTCTGATGCTACAACCAGCTCAGAGATCTGGGCATCGCCAACGACCTTAATGCGTTCCCTCGCTCCCTTGGAATTTCCTTCGCAGATGGCCTGGGCCAAAGTGTATTGGGTCGCTGCAGCAGCTTCTGCCCAACCACCTCGAGGGTTGATGTAGGCGTCTTGCTTCCATCGAGGGCCGCCATCAGAAGCTGCTGTCGGCGCCAATGGCGAGCCGATGGAGCTTAAGCCTTCGCCGATATTTGACCTGCACAACTCTGGGAATACTGATAATGCCTCTTCAGGGGTCTGAAGATGGAAGGCTTTTGCGGGTAGCTTCTCCGAGTCCGATACATTCTCCTCAGCTTCGTGAGCTCCACGAATTCCGAGCTGGACATACGCTCTGTCTTTCTCGGTAGCTCCTCCCTTACCCGGTCCATGACAAAGGGTATCGCTGCCACGACCGCTGTGGAAGATGACGCCAGTTTCGTGATAGAAGCGCTTCCAGATACCTTGCTCGTCGCGCCATAAGCGAATTGCTTCCTTGCCTAAGTCGCGGTAGTTCTTATCGGTGTAGTCCGAACGGATGATTTTATTGATATCAAAGGACGCGGCGTCAGGCGCAAGGCAGCTCTTTTCCGCTGCGTCCTGGACATCGGGGCTGTTTGCTTTGCTTGCAGAGCTGACGCTCGGCGAACACGGCGCACGGTCGAGCAGGAGAATGTTCCAGTCGTCTGCACTTTTAATGAGCGTGTAAGCTAGCGATGCACCGTAGGCGCCTGCGCCGACGATGATCGCGCGTGGCATGTTGTAGCTTCCAGTATACCTCCACAGCGCTTTGCAGTCGCCCGTGGCGCTCGGACCGCTCTATATTCTATGTGTAGAGGGGATGGAGCTCATCCCTTTACTCGCTTCAAGGGCAACTTTATGAAACGTATATATATAGCCTTCGTTTTGCAAATCGACCCAACCTTTTATCATGACACCCTCCAGCCAGAACTACTTAACGGAGAGACTGCCAAAAATATGCTCGTTTCCCATGTGAAGATGGATTTGCCACGGCTCATCTTTCTCCTCGCTGGACGCTGCCACAGCGCACCCGACTGAGGAAGATGGTCCCATTCGGACCAAAGCAGCCACATTCTCACTGCATTGAATACATGAATGGTGCCCTGCATAACACATGGGATATTATTGACCGTCGTACCCCTGCTACATATGGGACTTGGGAGCCAGTCAGCCAGCTCTTCAACAAGGCAGAGTGAAGCTCGGAAGCTCCAGATCAAAAGTGGCAAACTGAGAAATAGAATTGAGCGTTCTTGACTTGTTCTCTTCGAAAGCTGCATGCAGTAAGCAGTAAATGAGCACGGACGTCCCTTGGCGGGGCGCTACTAGTGCGTAAGTGTTGAGGAGTGCAAAGCTGCACCAGTCGCATGCCATCCTCTTCGGCCTTTATTACGCACGCCAAGCTGGCAATCCAAAGACCTTTCTTCCTTGAAGTTCTTTTTAGCCCGGTGGCGCTGTATCAGAGCGAAGTCCACAGAGGAGAGACATCGAAGCGCCGCCTTCACAGAAAGCTCAAGCGCACAGTTCGGGAACAATACTCGATATTCAGCATTCAGCATTAAGCCTTGAACTCCCAAAGTTTACAAGGACGCGATAGTACATGGCCAGCCTGGGTCCGCTTACTTGCTGCAGCCGTCACCACGGCGACGAGCGTGGTATTCAACCTCATGCTCTCACAGTTTCCCAAGCACCGTGGAGGCGCTTGACACATTCACCTCGCTCGAACCCTCCTCGACGGCAAAGTACGTGATCTTGAGGTCGTTGGCGATGAGCGCATAGCGGGCTGTGCGCTCGCCGAACCCTGCGCCTGACAGGTCGAGGGTCGCGCCGAGTCCCCTTGAGAAGTCGAGGTTCACGTCGGAGGCGAATTGCAGGCCGTCCTTCCCGCCTTCTGTGCGACCCCAGGCGGCTGCGTAGGGGAAGCAAAGCGGATCAGTCATCGCCCTTTCGGTAGGCTTCGCAAGCTACTTTGAACACATACACATGACGAACTGAGCACAAAGTAGGTAGCAAAGCGCAAGACAAGTGGCGAGAGTGCAAGATCAGCAGATGAAGCGAACAGGTGATGGTCGATGTACAGTTACTCACGACATCGTTTGCTGCAATGATGTAGACCTCGTATCCCTTCTGCTTGAACTCGCCAGCGCGTTGCACGAACTCAGGCAGGTGCTTCACATGGCAAGTGGGCGTGAATGCACCGGGAACGGCGACTACGACGATCTTCTTGCCTCTGGAGGGCGAGATTTGTGGAAGGCCCAAGTATTATAATAGAAATTCGTTCAAAGAAAGGGCTCATCAGCACTGTGCACCATTTGTATCCGCAGAGACGATATTGGGGGCAACGCTGCTGTGCAACTTACTTCCATTCCTTGTGTGTGTTCACCTTCATTGGAGCCCCGCACGCCTTGCCGTCCTCGAGGGATGGGTCCCAAGGGATGGTTTGCAGGGTCGCATCCGGGATGGTGTCTCCGACCTTAGCTGATGACATTGTATTGCGTAAAGACGATTGCCTGAGCTCAATTGGATTATGTCCGAGCAACCTCGTTTATAGAGTGGAGTGGGTTGCAAAGAGTGTGGTGGCAGTGGCAAGTGATGATATATATATATGGAATGACACTCGGACGTCATGTTCAGGAAAGATATTGGGGGGGGGGACTAGATCCCTTTATTTTTCATCGAGATTCTGAACACCGCAGGACGCCGCCGTTTACAGTTTCTGGACCCCACAAGGCATAACCTAATACAAATGAGACATGTGCCGGATGCCGGAAGGACCCAAGCCTGGAAAGAATGACCTCTGTGTTCAAACACGATGCAACTAGACCTTGTACTGGCCAGCAGACAGAGAAAGATGCGGGCAGCAGCACGCAACTCGCAAATGGTACGCCTATCGTCCGCGAAAGGCAGCAGCATAGTGGTTGTCGAACCGCACTAGCGGCACGGTCTGCATCAGACGTGTGCGGTCATGTGTAGACTACCGTGGACCTTGCAGCGCTCTGCATGAGTAAGAGGAAGCGTCCCAAAGCTTGGCAGCTTGTCGAAGCAGCGACGTCACCAACCCTTTTCCCTCTCGGCGAACGGGCCCATGGGGAGTGTCGAGAGGATCGACAAAAGACAGCCCTTTGGGGTTCTTCGGCTTCATGAAAATTGAAAATGACGCTGGGGGGTGGCGGATAATTGCAAGCGTGCACCCGTGAGTAGCGGTTGGGAGACATTGCATGAGACAACAACTATCTTTGGAGCCGAAGAAATGAAATGCCGTCAATGCCAATAAAAGCCCGAAATACGAATAATGAAGGCTTTTAGGTTTCTCGGTTGGCCATCAGTCTGATGTGTGCGGCTGTCGGACCAAAAATGTAGTTGATTCGATGCGTGAATGCATGAATGCACAATAAAACCTGACAAGGGCATGGAGCTAGCATATAAATCTAGTTGCCAAGTTGAGCATGTATAGACAGGCACGTGCGAATACCAACGTCGTCGCATTGTTGTGAAAGCGGTGGAGCCGGTGAGGTATGTACAAATGACGCTCTGTTCTTAGCATGGTGGTGGCGACCCACTTCGAAAAAGGTGTGTCATGCAACGACCAGCCGGGCAGCTCCTCGAGTCCGCCTCTGACTGTCCAGTTGGCCGTTGCAAGGCGCATGTCAATTGCACAAACTGTTCTGATGGTTCTGCACGTCGGGTTCGCCGCCACCACGGGTCAACGTATTTTGGCCCATTCAACAAAATAGGCAAGAACCGGCCGTGGATGTTGTCAAGAGATGGAGGGAAAAGTTGACACAACCTACATGGGAAGAAGCGCTCACGTGGCCTGCTTGTGTTCTGTCGGAGTCCTATATCATTGTTGGTGGAGAGTTGCCTTCGCCGGCATTCCTATTTCAAAGGCTGGAGATGGACCAAGTCATTGGACTGTTTGGCCAGCGGAGAGTACGGCCATGTAGGAAGGAGCCTACAGGTCTCCTACAACCGCGTTGCAGAAAGTTTGAGCAAGTCACAGCTGACACAGGAGTTCTTCTACTCATACACGATGAAGCCCCCGCGCCAACTTGTTTCGCGCCACTTGGGTTATAGGCCATGTAGCAGGCCAGCGTCCTAGCGTCTCCGTGCGCCATGCGAGTGCACTCGCTGTATGCGACGCGTCAAATGAGCGCCTGAGCAAAGAGGAATGTCCTACAGACAGCGTATGGAGCACTCGTACACGTGGTCGATGTCGACCGGGCCCAACAAGACATGATCTAACGCGAGTCTCTGATGTGAGATGGAATGCTTTGAATGCAACTTTGTACAAATACACACAGGGTCCTTATTGCGTCGCCGTTGGAGCCCAAGAAAAGCGGCCCAGCACATGCGCGGGTCCAAAAAGGGAAAGGGGGCAAGAGCGAGAGGAGGTGGATCAGGATACAGGAAGATGAACCTCCGTCATAGTCGCATGCGCTTCGGCTGCCCTCGGTCCCGCTCTCGCTCTCGTTCTTCCTTCCGTCTTTTCTTCTCCATCTCGTCCATGATGATTTGGTCCACGATCGATGCCCGCTGCGGCGCTTTAGTAGATGTCGCCCCCGCCGATGCGCTTGCACCGAAGCTGGTAGGCAGCGGCGCAGCCGCAGAATGCTTGGAAGAGGCGGCTTTCAACGCATTGAATCCGGCTGCGGGTGCAGTGGACTTGCTAGCTGCTCTAAGGCCCATGCCAAGCTTAAACCCTAATCCTGACCCTGGTGCCGAGGGTGCGTCCGCCGAGGGTAGGACCAGTGCGCTTGCCGAAAGAGGGTTGCTACTGCTGCTCGCATCGCCATTCGCTGCTACCGCTGGGGCTGCGTTATCGCGTTCCTTGTCATCTGGCGGACTGGGTGGTTTGAGCTTGGTGCCAAAGCCGATTTTGATCGGCTTGGCATTTTCGTCTCTCATGAGCATGCTTTCTTGCGGACCCGCCCCCGCTCCCGCAGCACTGGTCCCTTGGCTGTTCCCCTCTGCTGCCTCGTGCGCCTTGCGGATCTGCTCCTCGAGAAAGCGGCGCTGACGGCTCTCATCGTCAAGCTTGGCGCGCTCTAGCTTCATCAATGCATCTTGCCTTGCGAGCGCACCGGGGCTGTTGTCGACCCATGAGAGGAACCACGTGCCGGGGATTTGCTCGTCCTCCTCCACCTTGACGATGCCCTCGCGGCCGAGGTGCTTGCAGAACTCAGTCAGGGAGAGCCAACGCGTGGCGTTCATGTGAAGGTGATGGCGCTCTTGGATGTACTCATTGTACACCGTGTTGGCCTTGATGCGGCGCGTGCCGTAGCGCCTGCTGAGCAGGCTGACGAACGCATCTTGGAACTGCTGGCTAAAGCCGTCGATCACCTTGCCCGCCAGCTCGCCCTTGCTGCCGGTAATCGCCTGCAGCCGCCGCATGTGGCTCTCCGACTCGATGTGACACTTGTACCCGTTCTCATCCCTACATGGCTTCTCGCAGACCTGGCAGTAGAAGCGCAGACGCGTGAGCCCTTTGGCTTTCTGCTGGTTGGCGAAATGCTTCGCCGTGCCAGCCTCTGCTTTCGGCATATTGAATGAATTGGCAGCTATTCAAGCAATCCTAAAGGTCCTTGCAAGCGCTCAAAGCGTGATGAGCAGACTAGACACGGTGGATGGGAATGTAAGGAATGTAGGTCGGATACGCCGATGAGGAGGTGCAAGTCGATACAGGCGCTGCGCAACACGCCGACAGCCGTTCTCCTGCGGAGAACACCAGACTGCGGGATCGGAAAGGGAAATAAAATGAAACCACGCAAGATGCAACAAGTTGGACGGTCGATGGTGTCTGTAGTGCGTCACTGCAACAGTGACGAGCATGGACGGGCGTTGTTGCTGGTGTAATCGATGGACAGCAGAGGTTTCGATGAGGATGGCCTCAATGCGGCGGCCTCGATGGATGGCAATCAGGGGAGACGACGGGCTGAGCAGACCCATGTTGGAAAGTAGGGCTTACATCAGCAACGTTCAAAGCCAAGAAGGTGTGTGGCTGGCACAGTGGAAGGAAAAAAATGTTTGCTTCCGGCGTGTAATGTGTGGCAATGGGCAAGTGGCGGATGCATTTGACCAGCACTGCAGCGGTCTCCGAGCCGTTTCGACTTTGAGTTCAGTAAGTTGCGCCATTGCGCGAGTCAGCAATTCTCGTGTCTTCCCTCCCTCCTACTCCCCGTCAGAGTCCCAGCCGCGAAACTCCACGCGCCCGGCAGAGAAGAGGGAGACGACCAGCTCGTGCGATGCACCTTCTCCGATCCTCTCTCAGCCAAAGCAAGAAGCCCTTCTTCGCTCAACACATCCTTGTCTCGCATCTGCACATTCTCCTCCTCACTCATCTAATCCACCCTCACCATTCAACCATTCCTCTTTCTTCCGCAAAGCACAGCCAGGGTCGCGCGTATTGATGAACACCACACTCAGGTCCGCGTTGACTCGCTCATTTACTCTCACTTCCACACGGAACATCGCCTTCAGCAGAGCAGCAGCAGCAGCAGCAACAGCGTTCAGGCCATCCACCATCGTCGCAACTCGTGCATTCTCCGCTTCCAACATGTCTGCTCAGGCCATTCCCGTTCCCAATGACTTTGTGAGCGGGAACGCTTGGCGCCATGCTCGCTTATAATGGATACGGCTGCTGACACGCATCTCCATTCACCCATTCTTCCCATCGCGCCGCAGAACAAGGTCCTGTACGCGCCTCTTGCCGAGGTGGACCCGGAGGTTGCCCAGATCATCGAAGATGAGACCTGGCGCCAGTTCTCCGGCCTCGAGCTGATCGCCTCGGAGAACCTCACCTCCCTGGCCACCATGGAGGCCAACGGCTCTATCCTAACCAACAAGTACTCTGAGGGTCTCCCAGGCGCGCGCTACTACGGTGGCAACGAGCACATTGACCGTCTCGAGAACTTGTGCCGCGAGCGCGCTCTCAAGGCGTTTGACTTGGACCCCAAGGTATGGGGCGTCAACGTACAGCCTTACTCGGGCTCAACGGCCAACTTTGCCACCTTCACCGCGCTCCTCGAGCCGCAGGATCGCATCATGGGTCTCGGCCTGCCGGACGGCGGTCACCTGACGCACGGCTACTACACGGCCAAGAAGAAGATCTCCGCATCGTCGATCTACTTCCAGTCTTTCCCGTACCAGGTCGACCCCAAGACGGGCTACATTGACTACGAGCGCCTCGCGACGAACGCCAACCTGTTCAAGCCGCGCATGATCATCTGCGGTGGATCGGCCTACCCGCGCGACTGGGATTACGCCAAGCTCGCTGCGACGGCCAAGCAGCACAGCGCATTGCTCATGGCTGACATTGCACACATCTCTGGCCTCGTCGCGGCCAAGGTCCAGAACAACCCGTTCGAGTTCTGCGACGTCGTCACCACCACCACCCACAAAACGCTCCGAGGACCTCGCGCCGGCATGATCTTCTTCCGTAAGGACAAGGACCCGGAGGCCGAGGCGAAGATCAACGCAGCCGTTTTCCCCGCTTGCCAGGGTGGTCCTCAGTGAGTCATCTGTCTGCTTTGCGGACGTGCATACGCAGATGTTCTGACCGCCCTCTCTTCATTCGCGCAGCAACAACACTATCGCCGGCATTGCGACGGCGCTGCGCCAGGTCAGCTCGCCAGAGTTCAAGGAGTACGCCGCGGCGGTGATCAAGAATAGCCAGGCACTCGGCGCAAAACTGCTCAGTTACGGCTACAAGCTGCAGACCGAGGGCAGCGCCAACCACCTCGTTCTGTGGGACCTGCGCCCGCTCGGCCTGACGGGCAGCAAAATTGAGAAGATCTGTGACCTGGCGCATATCACCATCAACAAGAACGCCGTCGCGGGTGACACGTCCGCCATGGTCCCTGGCGGTGTGCGCATTGGCGCCAGCGCGTTGACGTCACGCTCGATGGGCCCCGCCGACATGGAGCAGGTCGCCACGTTCCTGCACCGCGCCATCGAGATCTCGCAGGTCCTGCAGAAGGAGGCCGGCTCCAAGCTGCTCAAGGATTTTGTTGCCAAGGCCACTACGGGCGAAGGCGAAGGGCGCAAGCTGATCGAGCAGCTCGCGGGCGACGTCCAGGCGTTTGCCACAAGGTTCCCCTTGCCGGGCGTGCCGGACAGCAGCAAAATTCAGCGCCCTGCTGGCCATTAAGCCTCGGCGCTTCCACTCTAGTTTCCCCTCAGAGAAGCACTTGCCTCCCTTTGGCCTTTCTCTTTTATCCTCTTAGGGCTTTTCTTCTTTTTCTGTTCTCCATTACTCCAAAGGTTCAACCACAGCAGCATCCCTCCCCTTTCCTCCCATTTTGAGGTCCCCGTGACCGCTTTGTGCAAACCGACCTCTATCATCCTCTCTGCATAGCATGTTCAACCAACGAAAAGTCCTGGCCCTCATACGAAAATTGTGTAGCACGTACTATAAATTCACAAACAAGAATGCATCATCGGTTGCGTCCGATACAGACGATCATCTGAACTACAGGAGCTTGTGCCATTGTCGTACTCAATTGAGTGGCTCTGCGCTGCGACCACCCACCTACTCTTGCGATACAACTGCTGCTGGGGATTGGGACGACTAATAATAATACACCGCACAGCGCGTGACCGAGGTACATTTGACGCTCGAACGCGGACTCACGCTTCGCGCTTGAGAAACCCTCGCGAGCACCGCTGGCGTTAGGCCACTTGGGCAGCCGGTAGCCCGCCGATGTTGGACTGAGGACAATGAGTCCATGACGAATGTCGACCGTACGCATATGCTGATTGGACTGCACAAAGGCATCGACCGGCTTTCACCGGCGTATGGCCGAGAGACGCGTGTGTGCCCTCCACCACGCATCCTCTCTCTCTGTTTAGGGATTAAGGGGAACACCTTGGTCGCTCGTCTGCAACTTTTCTCTGTCGTCACCATAATCTGCGGCAGCATCGCCAGTATCAGCAGTTGCAGTCGAGGCGGAGCAAGTGACGGGCGAGTCAGCTGGTCACGCGTTGGGGTGCATTTGGCTTGGAAGGGGGAGAGAGGCAAGCGCGCGCTTCACAACCAAAGCTCTGTGCCTCTGCAGGCTTCACGCAGATTCAATTTCATTACACGAGCTGGGGACCTTTGCTTGAGGGAGTTAATTGGCAGGGTTCTGCACCTTCATCGACGAGCGTGAACGGACGTCCCTCAGGAGGGTGAGCGCAGCAGAAGGCCTTACACGAGCTTCCGCTTTCGTCAACTGGCGCTGACATCTCCACTTGCCGAACGTCGTTCGTCGCCTCTGAACCCAACACGTAGCCCTTGTGTGTTCCCACCTCACGCCACTGAATCCCTCCTTTCGCGCCTCCTTTGCCCTTTAAATACTACACATTCAGGCTACGCATATCTCAGGAGGCAGCACAGTGGCTAGGTAACTGGAACGTAAGCAAGGCGCAGAGGCGTGAGGAGGGCAAGCACCCCAGGATGCCGGCTTGGTCATCCGCCGGTGGCGACAAGCCGCAGCTCTCATATGCTGAGCGCTTGCGGAGAGCCGCAGTCGGATCTGCAGGAGGGAGAGAAGATCACGAGGGGGATGAAAATAGGGCCAGCGGGAGTGCTGCGAGCCGCGGTGGGCCAGGGACGCCAACTGGGACCGGACGAAAGTCGATACCTGCCCTACGGACGAGCATCGCGTCGTCCCTAGCAGCATCAACGGCTCCGTCAGGGCAAGCGCAAGCACAAGCTCCGCAGCCGCAAATTAAAGAGGCTTCGGCATCTGGGATTACATTGGACGGCTCGCAAAGGGTACCAAATACCGCACCATCGTCATCATCGCCATCAATGAGCGCAGCGCAGTTATCATCCACGCTGACACAAGCTTCCGGTTCCCTGCCGTCTCCTCAGACTGCATCAATAGCGTACGCAGGGGGAGCTGCTGCCACATTGCCCACTGCGAGCACGCATGCAAATGTTTCGCCACCGACTTCATCACCTTTGACAGCTCCCAACGGCTCACCAAAGCCGCCTCTATCTGCGATGCCGGCATCAGGCAACGCAGGGATATCGCCGAGAGAGAGCACAGGGCCTTCCGCCTCCTCCTTGTCAGCGATATCAGTTTCAATGTTAGGATCGGTGTCGGTGAGCACGTTGACGCCTCCGCCCAAAGTGGCGCCGGTGAACGTCTGGCAGCTGCGCAAACAGCAGGCAGAGGAGAAGGAGCGGGAGAAGCTCAACGCTCGCCAGCAGGCGCAGCGCGCTCCCGCTACTTCATCTGCCTCTCCCTCGATTCCTGTCTCTGCGTCTCAGGCTTCCCAATCACCAGCGCCGGTGCAAACAGAAGCGAGGAAGCCAGTGCAGCAGCCAGCGTCGGCGTTGGAGAGGCAGGAGGAAATGGACAAACGGGGGCAGGCCCCTGCAGGAGCGACCTCAAGCGAGCTCGGCGAGCAGGCGGCGCCTGTTGCCGTCGGAAATGCACAAGCTACTGGAGCTATTGCGAACACTCCAGGCAATACTGCCACACCTTTACATGGGACGCTTGGAAAGGGAAAAGGTACGAATACAACTGCCGGCTCGGACGCTGCGAGGAGCGTCTGTGGGCCAGCTGCGCTGGGCAAGGGGCAGACTACCAGAGCAGCACTACATGATAGTGCTGCAGGGAACGCTGCTTCGAAAGGTTCGGCTGCCCGAGCTGCCGCCGCCAGCCAGCAGGGTACAGATGTCAATACGAACTCATCGGGGACCGCCAGTCTTAAGCAAGGAGACGCTCCTACACTTCTATCAGGGCCAAACACATACCCCATCAGCACTTTCCCATCGCACAGGATGGCGACAAACGCTTCAGGCTGGGTACAAGGTGGGCTACGAATAGCTGCCTCGCATCCGGTGACTCCACAGTCCCCATCGCGCTCGGCTGCATCCATTGCATCAAGTGCTCCCATCTCCGGCTCCGCTGCCTCTGACAAAGAGACGCGTCCGACGTCGATAGCGTCCTCGCCTGCTGGAAGTACGCTCAACTTGCCTATGGTACCGCCGCACTCGCATCTGCCGGCGCTGTTGACGTACTCGCCCCGCTCGGCGAATGGAAGTTACCATCCACTACCGGGGCCTGGCGATGAACCAGAGGATGCGTGGTTGCGGAGGATTCACATGCTCAATGGCGGGCAGAACATGCCCAACTTGGTGAACTACGAAAGTTCGCTCGGCCTCGGCACCGACGTGTACCGCGCGCGCAGGAACACCACCGGAGGCTCGGGAACCGCTGGAAGCGCTGTAACCTTGCGGCCCGAGCCAGGTGCAGGTCAAGACTCAGGACATGGGCAAGGACAGGGACAGGACAGTGGTGAAGAATCTGCCGCGAGCTCCTCGAATGCCCCTTCAATGGTGTCTACGCCTGGGATCTCCAACGTATCGCTAGCGAAGAGCGGCAGCACATCGTCGCCAAAGACGACTTGGACGAAGATGAACGGGTCATATGCAGCGCAGCACCTTGTGCCAGCTGCCTCTACGTCCTCCAGCACGACCGGGACTGCCGCTGCTGCAGGCATCGCGACCATTGCTAGTACAAGCACAAGTGCGAAAGGCAAGAGCAAGGTGGCGAAAAAGAAAAAGACGGAGGAAGCTGCCGTGCTGGCTGACTCGACGAGCTGGCCCAGTGTTTCCGATGCAGCCAAGGAGCCGCAGTCGACC